ACATCGCTTCCAACCGCAAAAAAGGTACCTTTTTTGCTCTTTTGATAGGAACCTTTCTAAACCACAAAAAAGGTACCTTTTTCGCGCTTTTGAAGAGATCGCCTCAAACTGAAAAAAAGGTACCTTTTTCGCGCTTTAAAGTTTTGTTTGGTAAAGTGAGAAATGGATGAAAAGCGGACAATATTGACGTTAAAATATTTTCACCCGAAAGCTTCAAATACCCGCCTTTTTTTCTAAAAAAGTACCTTTTTTTAACTTTTTAACTGATCGACTAGCATTAACAAAAAAGGTAACAATTTTGCATGTTGTTCTATAAAAAATAAATGCAGAAAGTTAATTTTTCTGCTCTTTTCAAGTAGCAGAGTTGATATTTTTGTAAAAAAGCAGAATTGCCGGAACCTTTCACTGATTCAAAATGTTCTCCGTGGTCCCGACTACGCGAAACAGCTCAACAACTCACCGTAGCCGCAGGACTACGCGGGAAAAATGAACAGTCACGTGGTTTTGATCATGCGCAATAGCATGTTTAACCGTAGTCGTAGTCCGTAGTCGCCGTATCTTAAACTCCCTAATAAATGTCCCGACCGGACGGCGTGGAGCGATGTGAGTAGGCTGTATTTACAGGATAGTAGGATTTCTTGTCTCTGATTTCATGCTGCTTCCTCACACGACAAATATTGCACTACTTTGATCAAGCTGGAATTTCTTTCGCAGGGAGCAATTCTAAAATAGAGACCTTTAGATTTGTGAGCATGGACGACTCAGAGGTTTTTTGCCCTTCTCAGAAAATAGTAATCCCGAAAAGTTTTTATTGCACTTTTTACTAGAAAAGTTAGAACGGTTATTTTTATTGAAGGAGTTTGAGCCCTCTCTCGATCGCAGAATGATAAAACGTCTAACATTTGATAACTTATTTCCGCCTCAATGACATTCTCGTTAAAACGCGTAGTAGAATGACCACGGCTGTCACGTTTTCCCGCCAAAATGATGTTGGCTCACGCCTCGCACTTCTTGCCATTGACAAAACCTCTTCCTTGTAGTCGTCCTCGTCTTAGAATCTAACGGTCACTATTGAGAAACACTCTTAATCTAGAAATGATAACTAACTGTAGTACCCTATTTCTTGTAGGGTAATACCTTCAATACCAGTGAGAGTAAGAAGAAACGTCATCGCAAGCGTAAAGGGTCCAGTACACCTGAACTTCTGCCTGACAGTCCTAGCTATGAAACGTCCAACGGACCCGAGCCTTCCCCTGAAAGTCATTCTAGTGCTGACGCGCCTAGGTCAGCGGGTGTTGTCAGTCGTACAGCTGGGCTGCTTTTCTCGAGTGCTCGTGGGTTCTTTGGTGGCCTTCACAATCCATGGAAACAATCAAAACCTTCGACTGTCTATAGTGATCCCAATATATCCGCAAGAAGCGAACTCAGCCAAGCTCGCAAAAGCTCGCCTTGACCAAATAATCCGGGTTTATCCCGAGCAAAGAGTCTTGAGTTAGTTCCAGAGAATACATCAATTCAAAAACCTGCACCACGACCACCAGCACCGACCCTTTCGTCCGAGTGTGGCGTGATGTTGAAGCGCCCACCAGATTGTTATTACCCTAAGAAAGGCCCCGCAAAGAACATTTTTCCTGGTCCCGTGAAATATGGGAAATATGGCGTGTTAGATTCTCAGTTGGCTTAACTAATGCCCCTCGAGAACCTCACGCATTCCTCACTCCATGCTATTGAAAGTCCGTTTTTAAGGATGACTGGAGTATGAATTCGTTTGGTTTTCGGGGGTGCTGGTAGAAAAATACTTTGTGGAGAACCGTCAAAGTTATTGAACCTTTCTTGGTTTACAACCAAAGGCTCGTAATTGGTATACAAGTACAAAAATATCTTTGTTAAATTTTGTGGAAATACTTGACGAGAACTCCCAAATCTAGTCGCAGCTTTATTCTTCTTGGCAAATCCTTGGTTGCTTTTACAGATCTACTGTAAATGCTTGTATTTTAAGGCGACTAGTTCTGTCGTTTACTTAAAAAACGTAATTTGCCCTATAAAGACTGCTGCGGTCTTGCCAAAAATATGGTGGTCAAGTTGTTCCACTTACGGTTATGGTGAAATAGAATATTACTAACAATAAGAATATTGTTATCCTAAGGCAGATATAAAAAGGAAGAATAAATAGAACGGGTCGTTTTGCTTGTTTTAGGAGTCATGGTCAGAGAGGTTGTCCTCTTTCAAGAATTTTGTCAAGCGTTCGACGTTTCACAACTTCCACAAGCATTGTTATTGTGGCACCAACCTCCAATATATTTTCCGAAATCTGTTATGCCCTTTCTTAGAGAGCCCAAGTAGCCGGCTCTTTTACAACCCTCGTTTTTGACTCACGCTGAAATTGTCTCACTAGTTCGCTCTCCAGTCCAACATGGTGTACCTTATGATATTTAATTTGTGCCGGTCCATTCAAAATAGCCCTCCTGAGGAAAAATCCTAAGGGGTTGCTGAATACACAGACAGACTAGACCATTGGTTATTTATCAGTTAGCTGGTATGAAAAAAAAAGATCTTGCACAACCTGTTTTGCCTTTTGTAACATGTGGTCAAGCACATGTGTAATTTGGATTAACCTTTTTAGCACACAAAGATACCACATAATGGTCTCCCTTTTCCTCTAATTTGAATCATTAAGGCTGAATAGCCTGTCCTGTGGGGAACAGGGAACTTTTTCTTGATTCTCGGCGTATCACTCAGAAATGACCACAAACTCAGATAAAGTTTAAAAGCCTTTAATTTATTTTAAAGAATGACATCAAATATATAGAAACTGACAAAAAGCTGGACATTAGTTTATGAAATAGGCCACTGTCAATATATCCATTGACGTCATGTCCTGAGAACACGAGGAAGAAGAGTGATGACTTTCGTTTCTTCTGGTTTTCTTGGCCTGGCTATGAGTTTGAATAATAGCACGATATATCAAAGTGACCCCATTCATACCGAAGCCCTACAATATTTTATCTTACTCCTGCCATTCAAAAATTTATTATTATCATTATAAAATGAAGCAATATTATTATGTAAATACGCAATATGTATTAAATGAATAAATGCATAGTTGTATAAATTAACCATTGAAACGTTCTTGCTGGTGCTGACCTCGTTCCTGGCGTATGAGCCATTAAATAAAAGAATTATATAAATTATGCAGATCGAGGAGGGGTATCGGATGAACGCCGAGGTGGATAACTTCTTTCCGTCTCTGACCCTGATTGTGTGCCTTTAGAGAATAGTGTGTTATATATACTGACTTCCAAACCAGACCTTAGCTGCAGAAATTTTACAAAGGTTCCTGTATTGCTTATTGTATTGGCAGCATTGGTCGGAAATGGAATGTTATTTTTTTCCGAACTGCCCTGATAATCCGAATCTTCACTTTTCATACCCAGACGTGGGTTTCCCAAGTGATCTGCTAATGACACTATTTGAAAGAACAGAAAAATCTTAACTATAATCACTATAATTATTATTCAACACCAGCAAAGGTCTCTACAATAATTAAGCTTTTTTTCTTATACTACCGCAATATTGTTATGGTGAACCGAAGTGCCTTTTATCACCTTACTCCTGATGTCACCTTTTGGAGTCAATAGTTCGTTTCTCCAACATGACCTGACATGTTTATAGCGAGTGGCAATGTAGTCTAACCTAGCCGATTGAAACGTTCGTAACATTGAATTGTAGCCACGGAATTATGTGGTAGGTTAATATCTGGTGTCTGAGGAACTCTGAAGGCTATGATCAGTCACACTATACCGGATAGCCCTCGCACCGACACGAAAATGATACCGGATTTTGCTTTTGTCAGTTCATTTAGAAGAACGGTGATTTTCCGGCTATTTCTCAGGAGCGAAACTGCGCCGCCGCCGATCTTGAAAAGTGGATCATCACTTATCGGATGGGTTTCTGCCACTTTTCGTCGCAGTGTGAACATGTTTTCAGGTGAAATGAGTTGGTGGAGCATAGGCTGGGACCCACCTGATATGAAAGTATATTTTTAGGAGAGAGCACTGTAATTTAGTACACCAAACTGGCCTCTCGGCCTGCCGACCGCTCTGGGGCGATGTTCAATGTGTGTGGACGACTTGTTCCAGTTCCATACGGTTGTCGTTCATACTACCGGATACATTTTCATGTCGACACGAAAATCTATTTCCAGTATAGTGTGGACAGACTACTGAAAAAAGTAAAAGAAGCAATCCGAACTACTAACAACTTAATAGTCATTTGCAGAGAATGAACCGATTTTAGTTCCTACAATTGATATATTACCAGTGCTATTAAGTATTTTCTCGATGTCTCTGAAATGAAATTAAATATTATTAGGTATCTTATTGTAATAACCCATTAAACAGTTGTGCTCGTCATCTTAGTCCTGTTCCTTGCTTGGCAAGGGAACTCCCATATGAAAATGACGGGGTTGCTCGTCTCTCTTAAACGTAGACATCGCAGTTTTTGGTCTCACTTTGGCTGTGCAAGACAAAAGCCACTATTTTTAACCATAAATCTATCGCTTAACCCCCCGCAAACGGACGTAACTTTGTTGGCCAACAACTCGCAACATTGTTGGAAGTTGTTGCGTCCGTTTGCACGTAGCTTTAGGGTTGTGCGTAAAGAAATATCTATATAGAAAAAGACGTTGTCTTAATGAGTTAGAGTGTGTTCTACTTTGGCTGCTTTTTGTGATCGTAACCGAGGGAGACTGGTTATGAATACCGGCAAACAGTGAAGATGAAAACAACGGTGTTCAGTTTATGAGTATAGTTTCTTGGTATTGCAGACGGTGCAACTGCAATTATTAATCTACTTATCCGCCGAGCATTCCCCTATGCTTTCATATTGGAGGTTCCCCCTCCCCCCTCCTCCTTCCCCCCCGAGACCCCTATAACAATCTAAAGAAAGAAAATCTTGCTTTGACAAAAATTGAACCATAGACCATAGAGACCCTACAGAAATTAGAGCTTCGTATCAAGAGTACTAGCTTTACTGGTGTTAGTGGCGGATGCCTCACGGTAACATGGCTGGTTCTGATCCAGTAGTCTGAAATAATAGTAAGGGGTATCTTCTGTCATCATCTCCTCCAGTATCGGTACTAGTTGAAGGAATGAGGGTCGTTCATTTGGATCCTCCTTCCAGCAGTCCATCATCAATTTGTATCTGTTGTAAAAGGAAGCCATAGTTTCAAATGCCACTATATAAAGATATATCTTCGTTTACTTTGAATATTGAAGACACTTATGTTCTATAGGCTCTTTTTAAAATAGAGCAACGTAAAGGAAAGAGGCGCGCTGCAGTTTCCACTCCTTAGAAAAGGCTGACAATTTTAGAAAAAAAAACTGTTTGAAGGACTATGAAAGTATTTCTTTATCGTACCCTCTGTTCGCGCGTCTTTTATTATTTCTATTCTGACTTACATTTTATCGCTGCACGTGTTGGGTTTCTCCATCCGATATCCAGCTTTAAGTAAACTGCATAGCCTCATAGGGCTTATCCCAGGGTATGGAGTACCCCCTAAAATAACAAAATAAAGATTAATGCTGTCTTATTAAACATTATCAGGCTTTTCTAATTTTTGATTTTAAAATCGCTGGTGATCCCTGCAGTCTGATTGGCTCTCAGCAGTGTGATTTATTTACGAATCACAAAATCACATATGTTTTAAACCACGTCGCACCGTCGCACCTTGCTTTATATCGCATCATTTCTGTTTCGAATACAAAATGAGATGTAAAGCCCTTTTGTTTCCGCTTTTCAACAGGCTGTTTGATCTGCCCACGGGCAAGTCCTTCCTTATGGTTCTCGATCCAAGGCACGCCTCTTGACCACTACAGCTGCCATCCTTCACTCTATCCAGCATTCCTGCTCGAGGGAACGTACACGGAACGCAAAGGGAACGCACTAACGGGGCTTATGTTCCAACATAGTATACTACTAGTTAGCCTATCATTTTTTCTAGTTGTTTAGCAATCACGACATTATGCGAGAATGGCTTCTTTTATAAAGCGGCTCGATTCTCCCGTAACTGCTATCCGAAAACTGAACAGTCACCTTTTCCCTGACTACTGTCATTGGGGATTCCTCTCAATTCCCTTGGGTATAGGAAAATGACTAGAGTATTATTCTACCAGCATCAGTATACAAAGATTTATAAAACTAGCTTACCCATGGTGGCTAGTTCCCACAAAACAACTCCAAATGACCATCTGCAATAAAAGGAAGCAGATAAAGAAATTGCAAGAATTAACTTCACAGAAATATTAATTTTGTTTATCTCGTCCTATGGATGGTAATCCAGGAAATTTTTGCTTGGAGTCATGGACTTTGGAATCCGAAGTCCAGCTAACTATGAAATTCTGGAATCTAGGCCTTTTGAAATCTGGAATACACTTTGTTGGAATCCGGAATCTAGTATCTGGAATGCGGGATGTGGAGCGTGGAATTTAGGATCCAAGATGGTCTCTGATTAACTTCATCGGCTCAAAGTTTCTGTTTATAAATCTTGTTTTCAAGTTTCACGTCTGGAACAGGCTAATGTTTTCCAAACACTTGAGTATTTCTTTAGAGATAGAGTGATAAGCGCTACTGTAGACAGTGTCATGATCAAAATTGTGCTCTTTTTCTTCAGACAGTTCTAAACAGTACATTGCAGGGTCTATGTTATCTAAAACCTCAACTTCACACTGAGTCACAGGAAGCCTAAGCTTGACCTAACTGTGACCTCGTTAACATATACTCACACGTCAGTCTTGAAAGTAAAAATGCCGCTTTCCAACGCTTCAGGTGCCATCCATTTCATTGGTAGCTTGTGTACGCTCGTAACTTCGTATATTTCACTCTCATTTGCCCGGCGTAACAAACCAAAATCAGCAATCTTCACCGCTCTGTCCTCACCAAGTAGGATATTACGGGCTGCCAGGTCACGATGAATGAATCCTTTGCTGGCCAAGTATTCCTGGCAGAGAAATAACGAAATTATTTCTCAAAAAATTTTTAGTTACCAGATTCCAATCTGAAATTAAAATGGAAGCTCGATTTTGCGATATGGCAGTTGGATAGCAGTTTAATCGGGATATCGTTGTAAACGAACTCCCGATTTAACGATTTGACGGAAAAGCAACCAAGTGCAATGAAACATCTGTTCCAGGCTCAAAAATAGCCCGTCACCGCCCCTTTTTCCTAGATTACGCTTTTATATTTTTGCCGGTGCTTTACACTTTTTCGCCCGGTGCCTTACGCTTTTTTGCCTTATTTTTGCAGGTGCCACCCCTACTATCCAGAACCTGGAACAGGCTACTGCAAGCTGTGCCTGGAAAACGGTCGGGAAAGCGGGAGGAAGTGATCGTCGGCCTATTCTTGAAGAATGGAGGGAGGATTTCTGTCACAGCTGTTGGAAAACGAAGGAAAAAATTAAGGAATTGGTTTACAATATCCCAGCGACATATACTTTTCAGCACAAAAAGCCGTCAAAGTTGAACAAGCTAAGTGAACTACAGTCGAGTCCAGATAACTCGAACCCTCGCTAACTCGAACCTTGTGCTAACTCGAACCAGAATCCATTTCCGCTGGATTTCCTTTAGTGTAATTTATCCTCGGTAACTCGAACCCTCGATAACTCGAAACTCCCGGCGGCTAACTCGAAGTAATTTTTAACTCGAAGTAGTTTCCCTTCAGTTTTTACCCTCGATAACTCGAAGGGATGAATATTGGCCGAAAAATAAGGTTTTCAGTTAAGATTTCAACGGCGGAAGAAAGCCTTTTGACACCGGTTGACACTTAATTAAATGCTGTTTTTCAGGGAGACCTGGTGTGAGTGGAATAAAGTCCTCCTTAGACTGCCACGCCCGAAAAAGGAAAAAAACCTATTGGTTCTTACTATAACGCTGATTTCTATTTCGAAGTCACCCAAAACAGCATACCTAGTGAACATTATTCATTTAGAGCCAAATATACAGCTGAGCCACAAGGTATATCAATTGAGCTTACAGTAGTTAGCAAATACCATCATAGTTGCCGTTTACGAAAAGCAATCCTTTCAGCCATCAGTTCCACTTGCAGACCGTTTATTGTGCTTTCCACGAACCCGATTACGGGGGTCAAGATTTATCTAGTCCTTGCTGCTCAGTCATCCAACCCCGAGAACAAATTTAACCATTGCTTTTTCTTTCCTCTACTTCCTTCTTTTCTTTTCCTCTCCTTTTTGCTTTCTATTTCCTGTTCTGCCGTGAATGTCAGGGGCGTAGCCAGCCCATAGTCCTGTAGGCCCAGGCCTTAAAATTGTTGTTTGGATCACTCTACCGCTTGTAATAAATTATGCGTTGTTGGGGCGAGCTAAAAAAACATAAGAGCTCAAAGTGTTGGTGAGGTCAGTGCGTACGGGTCATGCGTGCAATTTTCAGGATATGTGGAAATGAGAGTCAACCAGGCCTACAACTAGTCGAAAAGCTGGCTATGTCCCTGTATGTCAGGCTTGTACGATTCAAATGAAATAACTGATAGATTAGCCTTATTCCGGTCATATGGCTGTATTCCTTAGATACCTTTTCGAAGTACGACCAGACCTGATTTTTCAATAGGTACCTTCACAACGGCTCCTTGTGATTTTTAGGCTTCTCGGGCGATAGAAAATTAAAAAACTCGGTTTTGACCTTTTTTAAAATCAAACGGCTCAATTTTATATGTGTTGTGTTTCACGAAAAATTCAGCAAGATAGTAGTTAGCGCTATCATGGTCTGTTATAATTAACGCAGAAATTTGAATGCTTGAAAAATCTGCCGTCTCATGACCAGATAGTATATACTTGCAGGCACAGAAAAACTTGTATTAAAGTATTAATAAGGGGAAGAGGCAGATTCTTGTGATTTGCAAACGATGACTAAATTGCTCAAAGCATTCTTCAGTCGAAAAAGTTCTTACCATCCCTTTAGCAATCTGCCACGCATAACATAAGACTTCTTTCCCAGAAATGTCTTCTTCATCATCTTCCTTGCTCTCACAGCTGCCTTCTTTCTCGATGGTGATCTTTTCTTCGACGTTTCTTAAAGCCTCAGCAGGAGTGAGCTCTTTTTCTTTGGAGAAATGGGCAATATTGATCGAAGGTAACACCATCACCGACGTAGCCGACCCCTTTTGTCCTTCATTTTGTAGAAATGGCGTGTTGACATCGTCACTTTCGTCTTCTTCCTTGTCATCTTCGTCTTCCAGGTTTGAGCAAGAAGGTTCCATTTCAGTTTGAGGCGCATCGTTGATTAGAACTCCTCTTTCACCGTCTTCCAGGTCGATTTTAATTTCCTTTGTCTCGCTGCAATGATAACCACCGTCTTTTCCACTTTCTTCATTATTTCTTTCCCTGTTCTCCTCTTTCAGGTTTTCATCCAGGACATCTTTTGTTTGCAGGTTTCTGGACACCAATTTCGGCCTCTCAGGAACAGGGGGTTTAAGCCTTTCAACAACATCACTTTGACGACTCTTTTTCATTGTAAGCTGCAAAAAAACATTGAAATGAATTCCGTCTGATCATGAGACGGTTTTGTCAGCAGAAACAATTTCAACAATATCAGTTGGTTCGCCGAAATATTTTTACCCATTGAAAAGGAATCCATGTGAATTGAAAGATTACTTAACCGACGTTAAACTGAAAATCTAGCCGGGAATACCTTATGGGCCAACTTTCTTAAATCGTCCATGGAAAATTCAAATGGATTATACTGCAATAGAGACAAAGCTTTTCTTTCTTTTCCTCTGCTTTGTTACAATTTTCTATGACATTTTAAGATACACAGTCCCAAAAACGCGACGTGCAGTGCTTCTTGATATTTGGTTTGACCTAATGTCACTTGTGACGTCATATCTCGTACAGGGCTTTCGGGACGGACAATCATTATCTCCACCATAATATTTTGAAGGGTTTTTTAAAAATTTCGAATTGTTGAGAAAAGCGAAAACCAATATCCTATTGAGGACCAAAAAAAGAAAAATGACGTCAGAGTGACTAATTTGCAATGTTTGTCTGATATCTGGCATTTTCGTTATTTTCATGACAAAAGTCAGACAAACTTGACATTTTAATGACAAAAAGACAAAAAAAATTGAGGAATTTGTTTGTCTGAGTTTAAGTTCTATAAATAATACCTGTGCGCAGCGCTATTGGGAATGGAGAAAAAATATCTTTTAAACAAAAGGCAAAACAGCGGGCAGCAAATTTTTATTTGATACAGATTATAAAGTAATGATACCTGTTGCCTTTTGTTTCTGAGCCACTGAAGAAGATCTCCGTTTGGAACATATTCCATGATTAACATAATGGGATGTGATTGGATCCAGTACCCTAGCATGCTCACAATATTACGGTGTGTTCCGACTTCCTTCATCAGCTCAATTTCCCGAACTAACTGCAGTTTGTCCTTCTCCGTGGCATTTTCTGAAGAAAAAGAAAGACATTGAAAAAAATCCAGTAACAGTGACCTACGTAAATGCTACACGATATCAGTTAGTACTAAACAACTAAAACCAGATGTAAAGATAAAAAGAACTAATTAAAATGAAAGTATATTTAACCTATGAAAATAAATAAAAAAAATCTATTTGTTTAAAACTTGGTTCCCTAAGTTAAGTGACGTAGATAAAACAAAGCCTCAAAGAAAAACCGTTAGTTCTCTTCATCTAGCGATCACCAAGCACGACATGTAACATGATGTACTACTGGATGATCTTTTAGTCCCGAAACTTGTTTCTTAAAGTATAGACGCCATGTTTTGTGTTCTTTAATTGCTTCCCTATTCTGGACCCACGGGCACTTCATCTCCAGTTAAATGACTTTCCTTGAGTGTACGTTTGTAATCCTTACGCATCTATCCAATTAGCTCATTTTCATTGACTCGATCTGTATTGACAGGGACGTACCACAATGCTTTTGTAGTTGGGTTTCATCAAGACCGTTACCATCATCTTCATTACCATCATCAAGCTCTAAGGCGCTTTACAATAAATATTTTCAACTTAAACGACTAGAAAGCAGTAGTAACTCGTAACATTGCAAAATAGAAAAATTGTTAAACAAAACTACGAAATAAAAATAACGCTTAGAAGATTTTAGAGCTTTAAGATTGTTCTTAGAGGAACGAATATTCAATTTCCATTTTACACTGTTTGTGCTCCGGAGAATCATTCCAAAGTTTAGGGACAAAAAACGAAAAAGCATGATCGCCCGGTAAAATTTTAGCCTAGATTTGGGTGTCACTAATTAACAAGTTCATGGTTGATGATCGTAAACTCCTAACAGGCTTGTAAGTTTGAAACAAATGACGATTACAGCTCGGACATGAATAATTTAAATTCGGCAACTCATGCTCCAAGGGAAGCCAATGTAGTGCTCTAAGTAAAGCTGCAGTAATGTGGTCATATTAACAATCACAAACGATCAAATAAAGTTCTCAAGTAACTGAAACATGTGAATAACGTATTTCGAAAGATCACATAACAGAACGACCAATCTACACATTACGAAGGAATGCACTAACATTTTGAATTGGTTTAAAGAGATAATCTGTTATCATGTCACAGCCCTAAGAAGAGATCATGCAGCCTGCTCTGTTTTGCAATTTTTATATCTGTGTGGTTATGTCAAAGGGTGCCCGCTCGGTTTTCGCTCGAGCGTGGGCATCGATTTAAGCGCTATATTCTTTTTAGTACAATTAATGTGACATAATCTCGAGCCTGTCTAAGACCACTTGCAACACGACTAACCTTTTAGCACACTTCATCAATGTTCTGATCTCAGTGAAGGTTTTTATGTCTACATTACTGAATTGATTCATTGCAAATAAAACGTGTGGTAAATTGCAAACATTCAGGGAGGTCATTAATATAAATAATATATAATATAAGAAAACAAAACAAAACAAACAAAATTTAAGATCAAAAATGGGCCCCTGAGGTACATCACTGTTACCGACTGGGGCATTTAGATGCTGTTTTCCACGATATATATAATGTTTACTATCTATTGGATTAAATAATTCAAACCTGTTACAAGAGAGCCTCTCTTGCCTGTTATCAATAAGAATCACTCTCGTGAATAGCGTTTGCTGAAAGAGTAAGTTATGTTTTTGCCATATATTCTGAATTCACGCACCTGGTAGAACTTTTGTAGCAACAATACGTCCCTCATGCGAATCCAAACTGTGATCCTTTGGTTTGGAGAATGTATTCTTTTCAGGTACCCCCCTCATCACGCTCTTATAAACTCTTCCAAAAGCGCCTCGTCCCAGTTCCTCCATGATAGTAACCCGCTCGTGTGGGACTTCCAGCAACATAAACTCGGCAATGTCAGACTCACTGGACCTAGAAAAAATAGTGCAAATTAAATGTTAATGAAATTCGTCGTCATTAATCATGGGCTTGTGGTAATGCTTTAATCAGAGATGGCTTCCGGGTTCATACAAGGTGATAAAAGTACATCGCCTTGGTCTGTTAGGAGGGTCACTCACCAGCGCGACTTGACTGAGAGAGACAGACACTTGAAGACCAACAGACACTTGCAGAGAAAAAAAAGTCTTCTTTTTCCGCATGCATATCATTATCATAATACAAAGCATTCATATAGACGATAACATTTTATGAAATACCGTTCATTCCTCTTTGCTCTCTTACGGTAGACAATTATCCCCACCACCAAAGCAGAAAGAGCCACGGAAGCTCCCAACACTATCCAGAGTATGGGAACGCCTGTAGGAGAACCTGTGGGAACGCCTGTAGGAGAACCAGTGGAAACTCTTGGAAGAGCCTCTCTGGTCACTGAGGGATACAAACAATCGTATATGCCAGATGTAGAAATGCAGGCCAATTAAGATGGCCATGAACATACAGCGTCGTGACAGGCTATTTACTACAGATGAACAGTCGCTTAAAGTTTAAAAGTTACAGGATGATAAACTTCCAGTAAGCGGAGGCTATAATCTGTACATTTTTATTGTTATTGAACATCAAATGGCTTTGTTGTGGTAAATTTCCGTCTTGATCTGTTTTACTCCCCTTTTGGCTTATGAGGGAGCTGAAAGGGGTGTCTAATTCCCCGGGGGTCTACCCCTAGCAGATAGGGTCCACAATAGGTTTGACGGGATGCGTGATTTGGCTGTTTTTTGTGGTGATACTCGAGATGCGAGCTAAAAAAAGGAGCGTGAAGCTGAAATTTTGATTTTAAGCAGGAGCGGGATTTCCTATTTTTATTGGGTTGGGATGCGGGAATCGTAAGGGAAAAGTAGCGGGATACGGGAATTAAGTTTTCTCGTGACCACATTTTGACTTTTTTGTGTACACCGCCCATGTACTAGGAACTATTAGTCGCCAAGGAAATGAAGCCTGTCAGTTTTAGCCATTATCAACATTGCGTGTTTTCGTCTTATTTCGTTACTTGGTAACTGACGGTGTGCGCGAACGGTCAATGGAAAGGTCTGGAAAGAGGCCAAAAAACGAATTAGACTAGGGAGAGATGCGAAAGAAACGCGGTTAATTTTACACAGTCTTCGCCTGTGCTTCGCACCTTTTAAAACCGATTGTGAGCAAAAAAGGACTGGTTTGCAAACTATTGCAGGTCACACGCACCTATTATTGAGCGGATTTAAGAATGGAAGAAAGTAAAGAGATTTTAAACAGGAATGAGTACAAGTAGTAGTACAAAAGAGGAATAAATCGAGGACCAAGCGCAAGAAGGGTGGAAAAGTACACTTTCTGCAAGGGGGTTGTCTACAGTTGCTTGTGCTGTTGGATTCAATAGGTACCCTGGGTGCCAGAGACTTTTCATGCGCGGTTTCCGGTTTCGGTCAAGTCCTAAAAAGTGACCCGCGCGAAAAGCCTCTGGACCAGAGCGCCATCCCTTTCATAGCGCCGAGCCAATTACAACACCGCTTATACCACAACATACAGAATATGGATGTTTTGCTGATTGGTTCCTTGGAGATATCGAATGTTTCAAATGCTCTGATTGGATTACAATCACAATAGGCGCGTGATCGGAACGCGGGTGGTTTGAAGGTGACAAGGATCTAATCCAAACAATCCAAGCACACATCACGTACGTTTTCACTTTTTGGAAGAGAATTGAAAATATCAGATCCCTGTAGGAACGGAAGATTTCGATAAGGCAATAGCCGAAGTCATGGTGTGAAGGAAATATGAGAGGGCATTGTAAATTACTATTTAAAGGAAAGACATATTAGCGGTCTTGCCGACCGGCTGTGGAAAATCACTCCTGTTCTAGTTAAAGTACCTGGCATATGCAGTGAGTAAAAAGGGGGTCAGTAGGCAACATAAAACTCTTACCTCGTGCCAAAATGCTGCTTGTTCCAATGAATTTTTTTCTCCAGCAGGTAGATTATGACTGAGCAAATATTCATTAATTTTGCCGTTTGTTTTATACTGAGAGGTCGTGATACGCTTTTCGATTTTTTTGCGATTTATTTCTGGTCGGCATGATTTGCCCTCTGATGCGAGTCGAGAGCATTTTCTTTGACCTCCTTTGAAACGTAAACTTCTTCATTGCCGCGAAATAAACTTTTAGGTTGTTTAAGTTTCTTCAATGTGCCTCCTGGATCTAAATAACTAAAAGCGATTTTCTTTTGTCGGTGAATGTGAAGGTTTCCTGCAATGTTCGGTCACGCGGGGCCTAGCTGGTTAGTAGTTTTTGCAGGATATATTTAAAGAGGGGGACATTGGGGATTTGCGGTGTTGCGGTGTTGGGCATTTTTTCATGCGGTGTTGCGGTGAATAAAATCTCAGCTTGCGGTGTTGCGGTGTTCTTAAACCTCATGGTGTGCGATGTTTGCGTCTTAAAGTCTGCGGTGTTCGGTGAAACGAAGTTATCTGCGATGTCGCAGTTTCCATTTTAAAGCTTGTCAGTTCTAAATTTAGCCTCCATCATGTTTGATTTGAAATAAAATACACTCTAAGGGTCCTCTAATACTCTCTAGTTAATGTTAAATACGCTGCCCGTCACCAATCCTTAGCCTGTTTTTCATTTATAATATATAGATTTAGCCAGGGCTAAAAGCGAAGCTCCCATTAATAAATTTATAATTTAAATCAAACAATAAACTTGTAATCCACAATCAGTTAACTTAAGGGCACATATGTGAATATGTGACTTTTTAGGGAAAGCTAAGGCTAAGTGATTTTAGAGTGAAAAAAAATATTACATCGAGTTAATAGCCGTATATATACACCCAAAAAATAGCAGTCACCTTCGATCACATTGAAGAACCATAATGGCTCTTGATCACAGTTGATTAGGCCTGGAAAGCGAACTCTTGGAAAACAAATCAGGCCGAATTTTTGCGTTGGACAAGTTTACTTAAATAAAATTTTGCCAACAAATCTGGGTGCGTGTAAACCAACATTTCATACTTTTTACACATCACATCTAAGGTGAAACAGTAATATGAGGCGCTGTTTTTATCATGCAGACCTCAGACAAAATGCAGTGTTTCACAATTTTTCAAGACAAATTGCAATCATTCAATTTTCAGAACCGTACGAAGCACGCGTGGGCTTTTGGCAAAACCGTTCAAAAAATTTCCAAAATCACCTATACGGCCAGCCGGTTCTCACTTTTGACAAGCGCCAAATTTTCGGTGAACATTAAAAGAGTTACGGTTCAACATAATAAAGAATTTATTGTGTTTATTTTTTTATTTAATGGTTTTATAACGATGTGTAATCTTAAAAAGCGTTTGATAAGCGCGGCATTTTGAGTACTCCTGCAAGCGATGTTTATGAACGACTGAAAACAAACAGCGAAGCAATTGAAATTGCAAGAGACTACTAACAATCAATAAAAGAAATGTAATTTGGTGAAAATTTTACAGAGACAACAATGTTCATTCACGAAGACAACTATTAAAGCGTCTCTAAAAATCCTGAGTCTTATGCTTAACCTTAAAGCTTTAGCCGGCTTCCTGGTGTTTACTGTTTTCAAAGATGAACTCGAGGCAAGAAAATCGCTCAAAGCTTTCGTTCTACAGCCAAAATCATAACTAAATACTCTTCGGAACGTTTGTTTCTTTCTATTTTTGGAGAGGAAATATCGACTAAAGGCTTTTTAAAATTCTGTAAGCTTATATCAAACTTCATACTAGATGAGATCATTATCTCAGATCTTAATACAAACGTGCATAAACTAGCCTCATAAACTGCCCTCGACTTCATGAAATTAGATATGAAAAAACAAACACATACACAGTATACAATAATTTCTCAGGCTTACCATTCGAGATGCAGTTCCTGAAAGCTATCAAGTAAGGCCAGAATCGCCTGAGGGACTTTTCAACCTGCATCCAGCAAGGTGAAAAACGAAAACATGTATGACCTTAAATGCAATGCAGATTTACACACACGCAGTGGGCGGTACAGTGCCTTAAACCTCGTCTGCCCCAGATATAATCGCGAATCTGAGGGAGGGAGAACTTTTAGCGTGTCTGCGACCAGGCTCTGGAACTCTCTGTCCATTGACCTTAAGAAAGGAACATGTGTAACCTCATTTAGAAAGGCTATTTATAGTCATTTTTTAACGAGATACAACGACGTTGATCATTTTAGTTTAAGTGAAACTTAAAATTATTTCTTAGTTTTATGCTAATCCGGCATTTCACAACCTTCCTTTCGCTTGACCCATCCTAGCTGTATTCTTATTGTAATTATAGTTTGTAGATATTCATTGTAAGGATATTTCATAATTGTAATATAGTTTTTTACTCTTTTTAGTCTTAACCAACAGCAAGTGGTAACGTTGCGAGTATGCGCGAGCCGCTGGACGGAAGTTTGTGGTGGTATTGGATCGCAGCGAATGCAGCAAAGAAAAATGGCGCCTCTTTTAAAAATTACCATCGTCTTAGTCATATGTTCTATCTTTGTGGAGTGCAGATCGGACAAAGGCTTCTTTGTAATATGCGAGATTGGTCTCAAGGCTAATAAGTCGCAGATCATTCACAATTTTGCGCGGTTTGTGGTCCATGAGTGATTAATGTTTCGTGTTTTGGCTTGCGCGCGGACACGTCGATAGGGTTCTGCATGTGTAACAGCTGCAAAACTGCTCTATTAAACACTGGATTACTAGGAAAAAATCTCTTCATGTAAGTTGTGACCGAGTACAAAACGTCCGACGCTTATGATTTGAATAAAACGCTGTGAAAAAAAATTCTAAATGCTAGTCTGTTTATATAGTCATAACTGCAGTTCTTGCGACAATCTCCTTGCAATAATACGATTTCACATCAGTTATGGTTAAGGAATGCCCTGTTTTTCAGAGATGTGCAACCTTAGTGCAGTGATTCTGCCAGTGATTACTTTTCAGAGATACCCCATCCTAACCACCAGTGGCCAAAGCAGGTGCAGTGTCCTAATTCTGCGACTGATAAAATTTCAAAGATATCCCACCCAGGGCTATGAAATTGTATGTTTCCTTTTTTGACTAGATGATATAAAACTAAATAACCAAACTCTAGAAATGACATCTATTAAATCTATGTGATGCCTTAACTTATTAAGGGGTGTAGGCACAATTTTGTAATATGGAGGCTCTTGACTCCAAGATGCCCCTTATACTTCTAAAATAAAGAATTAGATGAGCCAAAACAGGAGTGTGGTACAAGATGTTTCATATTACAGATGTGTTTTATTGAGGTAACCCTAACCATGAAAAATCCTTCCCTTTACTCCCCACACTTCTACATACTAGAAAATTGCAAATATGCACACAACAGTGAAAATACTTAAAATAGTAAAGATCATAACATCTAAAACTGCATTTTCTCTCTGAGATATTGAAGTGAATTTTCTGCTTCTGGTACTTCCATGCTTGCACTCATTTTTGCTTTTCGTACATTTTGCTGTTGGTATTTTCTACTGCACATGTGTTAATTATTAAAGATATAACTAATAAGGCCTAGCTCCCTTGACTAGCCCATATCTGTTTGCGGCCAAGTTCTTATGATTTGAAGATTAAAAAATTGAAAATGAGAGAAAATTAGCTCTAACTTTTCCTTTTCATTCAATTTCAACATGAGGAGAACTTAAGGATCTTAAAGCCTGATACCGGTATTTATAAAGTCTCAGTTTATGGTAGCTTCAAGTGAGCCAATGTATGACTCATTAAAATTAAAGCTTGTCCATGTGTCTTCTGGGGCACCTGGAAGGCTATTTGATGCAGTTCACGATGGAGTGACAGACCCTTCACATTCTGCAGACAGCATAGGGTTAAATAAAAAACAGATAGTCGCCATTTTGTAACAGCTCTGCTATAGCTTGAGTGAAAAGTGCGACTGGTTTAAATGTGACGATGTAGTTGTCCTCAATGACTATCACCTGAATCAACAAGGCTTAGTGCTGAGCATCTCATAGGGAGCTCCTGCAACAGGCAAAAGGCAAATGAAATTTTTCATAACTTGTCATCTTGCGACACCAGGAGCATCAATGAGCTTGATTCAGGGGAAAATTTTACATTAATTGCAACTTGTGCAGCCTATGATATATGACTATATACCAGTACACTACTACAGTGTATACACAGCCAAACCGACATTGACAAGCCAAGTGCTCCTAAATTTATGTGCACAACCTCTGAATGAGACTCAAAGTATCAAAAGATCTATTTCTATCGGAGAGTGAAAAGTTACCCCTATGGCATTTAGTTGTTGCCCACAACTAGCGATACCCCTTTAGATATTCAGGATTTCTAAAGTGTCATGGATAAGAATTTATATTCAAGAAGGAAAGAAATCTTTTGGATAGAAAAGGAATAATAACATTGATGATTTTTGTAAGCGAACAAATACATGGTATGTGATGAAGCTAATTCTTATGTGGATGCCAATGTAAGGAATCAAATACAGGGATTTCATGTCCAGTGTTGTCTGTACTTCAAACAGGAATGGCAGTCCAGCAAGTGCAAAGGTGAACAAGGGCAAGAATTGTTTTGCGCTTGAACTTGTGCTAATGTCAAAGTGGGAGTAATATTGTAATGGTCATATGAAAATGCATTAAATCACACTTATGAAATCACTTTTATAGTAGGGCAGGGAAAAGAATGCACATATATGTATTTTCGTATTTTATATTGATTTCTGTTATGTTTCAAGACATTATGTAAACATTTTAAGCATAACATTAAAATTCTTTTAGGCGCCAATTTTGTATGTATAAACAAATCATCATTGAATAATTATCAGATTAAAATCATCTTCCAAATGGTGAGGGTTCTTGTCAGTGAATCTGAGAGCTTACAGTGCATGATTATTAAAACGCAAATTCATCAGTGTTCCCCCCCTTGGATGCAAAATCAAACATTCAAGAATGAAAGAGTGTTCCGAAACAATTCTCTTACAAATAAGTTTTGTTGGGATATACTTTTACACGTTAACGAAAAATCTAAAAACAAGGTTGAAAAGGACAAGAAAAAATTGTCCATCTTTAACGAAGGTTTAGCAAATAATATTTCACAATCCAACGCCTCGATCTCTTAATCTCTGAGAATAAGTAATCGCCATAGAGCACCAATGTAAACCAGAAAAGCAAATTTTCGAAAATGGAAGGAAACATCCGACTATGGCCTTACTTGTAAGAGTAGGAAATTTGTTTGTTGATTTCATGCCGCTAAATAGTATCAAAATACTCGAACTTCCCCCCTTTGAATTAACCATTAAAAGTGAAAATACGGAGTGACCGAAAGAGAAGTTTAACCTGTTTAGTCGCTTGTGGGGGATATATAACTGGATCTCGTTGTACGGTCAGGGTCAAATACTACAAAAATACCAGGGTCACATAAATCACGTTGAATTCAGGCTGCTATAATTTTAACACATAACATTCGATGATGCTGCTCCACATTTCACAAAGTAAATCAAGGGGTATATCTTACCTAAATGTTAGGCAGCTCTGCAGATCGTGGACGATAACCCAGAAATCCGTGACCGCTTGAATGTCAACAAATCAACATATCACAACAAACGACCTCGTGAACGCTTTATCTGCTTCATCAGAGGAGCCAAAAGGACGAAAATTAACCAGCTAAATGGTCCTTCTCCCATACATGACACTCTAACATGGCTTAGCCAAAGTATCAAATCTATAAGAAATCTCTGTTGTTGATTGGGTATGCAAAAAAATCTCCCTTGAAAGCGCTTCAGAACAGCTTTGGTCCATTACAATTTCCCATCAACAAGTGCTTCCCAGCAAGCTTGACGCATGCGCAAACGTTACCACTTGCTGTTGAATAACAATAGACTGTTGATTTTATGCATCCAGTGGAAAAAGACAATAAAAAAATCACAAGTCGACAAAAAACTCTGTCAGTTTGAGCTGTCAAAGTAAACAAGTTTCAAGATGCTGTATAAATTTTCTGCATGAACTCACCTGTCAAATTTTGACCAATCAGAGCATAAAAATTGGACGGTCGTAGAGCGTGATCAACGCGTGACTATGGTGAGAAAATTAAAAAGCCTCCGTCTTCCCTGCTTGTATTTTTAAATGACTGGCTGAATTTTCGTGTCCGAGATCAGTTTGAAATCAAAATGTTAATAGCGCGGGGCCATAGTGACATTAACACAACACTTTCTGTCATCATGTCATTATTTTGCGGCCGTTCTCTTTGCCTTTGTATTTCTCTTTCGCGTTGCCTTTGTCTATTCATTCTAGCTCCGTCTCGTTCTGCTTGCCGGCGTTCTTCACTATGATTTTCTCTTCTTCTTCTCGCCCTGACATCTTTCTACCTGCCGACTTTCTTCGCTAAAATTTTGTCTTCTTCTTCTACTTCTAACGCGCTCTCTTTGGCGATCTTTGTCTTCACTTGCTCTACGCGTGTTGACTCTTGGTCTCTGCCGCTCACCTTCTCTTTGCTCTCTACTTTAAACCTGTCGTCTACACGCTAAAATGTCTCTGCTGTTGTTTGTTGACATAATAGCTTTCGTAAGTTGTAATAAAAAGTTATTAAGGCTCTGTCGAAAAATCTTTTTGCTAAGTTGCTTTGAAATTTCTTTTTCAAAACCACTTGCGAGATATAATCGCGCGACGTTGCGCGATGCGATTTTCCGCCAAAAAATCTCTACTTTCCCCTACCCCACGAGTCCATGCGGACTACTTTCCACTACCCGGAAGTTCCGTACGGACGGACGTACGCTGACGTCATAACCAAAATTTCTCGGGGGGGATAGTTTACCAAATTATCTTAGTTATGGTGCTTCGCGCGCCCAAGGAGCTCCGCTAATATATAGATTTAGCCAGGGCTAAAAGCGAAGCTCCCATTAATAAGTTTATGATTTAAATCAAACAATAAACTTGTAATCCACAAATCAGTTAACTTAAGGGCACATATGTGACTTTTTAGGGAAAGCTAAGGCTAAGTGATTTTAGAGTGAAAAAAAATCCTTCATCGAATTGATAGCCGGTATATATACACCCAAAAAATAGCAATCATCGTCGATCACATTTAAGAGCCATAATAGCTCTTGATCACAGTAGATTAGGCCTGGAAAACGAATTCATGGAAAAAACAAATCAGGCCGAATTTTTGGCGTTCGACAAGTTTACTTAACAAAATCTTGCCAACAACTCTGGGAGCGTGTAAACCAACATTTCATACTTTTTATGCATCACATCTGAGGTGAAACAGTAATATGAGGCGCTGTTTTTATCATACAGACCTCAGACAAAATGCAGTATTTCACAATTTTTCAAGACAAATTGCACTCATTCAATATTCAGAACCGTACGAAGCACGCGTGGGCTTTTAGCAAAACCGTTCAAAAAATTTCCAAAATCACCTATACGGCCAGCCGTTTGTCACTTTTGACAAGCGCCAAATTTTCAGTGAACATTGAAAGAGTTACGCTTCAACATAATAAAGAATTTATTGTTTATTTTCTTTATTTAATGGTTTTATAACGATGTGCAAACGCGCAGCATTTTGAGTACTCCTGCAAGCGTTGTCTATGAACGACTGAAAACAAACAGCAAAGCGATTAAAATTGCAAGATACTACTAACAATCAATAAAAGAAATGTAATTCAGTGAAAAATTTACAGAGACATCAATTTTCATTCACGAAGAAAGGTATTAAAGCGTCTCGTAAGCGTAAAGCTTTTAGCCGGCTTCCTAGTGTTTACTGTTTTCAGAGATGAACTCGAGGCCGGGACTCGAGGCAAGAAAATCGCTCAAAGCTTTTTTTCTACAGCCAAAATTATAACTAAATACTCTTCGGAACGTTTTTTCATTTTATATGCGGAGAGAAAATATCGACTAAAGGCTTTTTAAAGCTCTGTAAGCTTATATATACTAGATCAGATCATTCACTCAGATCTTAACACAAACGTGCATAAATTAGCCTGATAAACTGCGCTCGACTTCATGAAATTAGATATAAAAAACAAACATACACTGTATACAATAATTACTTAGGCTTACCATCCGAGATGCAGCTCTTGAAAGCTATAAAGTAAGGCCAGAATCGCTTGAGGGACTTTTCAACCTGCATCCAGCAAGGTAAAAACGAAAGCGATGCATCCGAAATCGGATTTCCAACTTTGACAACCGGCGCATTTCCCGATCAAAAATTCAATAAACAAGCCAGCCATGAATCAAAGAAGACTGTTGATAGCAGCTGTATTTCATTTTAAGCATCCAGTGGGAAAAGACAGTAAAAAACATCACAAGTTGACAAAATACTCTGTCAGCTTCAGCTATCAAAGTAAACAAGGTTCAAGATGCTGTATAAATTTTCTGCATGAACTCCACCTGTCAAATTTTGACCAATCAGAGCATAAAAATTGGATGTTCGTAGAGCGTGATCAACGCGTGACTATGGTGAGAAAAGTGAAAAGCCTCTGTCTTCCCTGCTTGTATTTTTAAATGATTGGCTGAATTTTCGCGTCCGAGATCAGTTTGAAATCAAAATGTTAATAACACGGGGCCATAGTGACATTAACACAACACTTTCTGTCATCATGTCATTATGTTGCTGCCGTTCTCTTTGCCTTCGTATTTCTCTTTCGCGTTGCCTTTGTCTATTCATTCTTGCCCTGTCTCGTTCTGCTTGCCGGCGTTTTTCACTATAATTTTCTCTCCTTCTTCTCGCTCTGACTCTTTCTACTTGCCGACTTTCTTCGCTAAAATGTTGTTTTCTTCTTCTACTTCTAACGCGCTCTCTTTGGCGATCGTCTTCGCTTGTTCTACGCGTTTTAACTCTTGCTCTCTGCCGTTCACCTTCTCTTTGCTCTCTGCTTAAAACCTGTCATCTACATGCTAAAATCTCTCTGCTGTTGTTTGTTGACATAATAGCTTTCGTAAGTTGTAATAAAAAGTTATAAAGGCTCTGTAGAAAAATCTTTTTGCTAAGTTGCTTTGAAATTTCTTTTTTCAAAACCAGTTGCGCGATATAATTGCGCGACGTTGCGCCATGCGATTTCCCGCCAAAAAATCTCTACTTTCCCCTACCCGAAGAGTCCATGCGGACTACTTTCCACTACCCGGAAAGTCCGTACGGACGGACGTACGCTGACGTCATAACCAAAATTTCTCGGATGGGTAGTTTATCTTAGTCATGGTGCTCCGCTCGCGCGCGCTTCGCGCGCGCAAGGAGCTCCGCTATTAAGTAACTTGATAAGCAACGTGACCTTCGCGACCCGGATCGCCACATGTACGTCCGTCAGGCAAGATGAGCGAAAACCTTGCGACTGACGCAGCTGATCCTGTCGATCCTGAATGCGTAGTTCATTGCGTAGCTTTTTTTTACGAGGAGGGCAAAGGTGGAGAAGACTATAGGTGGAAAAAAAAATTTCGATGCTCCATAAACAAGGAGGAAAAGAGACTCGCGAAGTTTGTAGAATGCATTTGGTAAGTAACACGCATTGTCTCTGTATCTGAATATCGTAGCTAGTTCATAGATCTTCTAGGATTCTAGAGTCAAAGTGTACGTAACAACCAAGATCGAAAAGCATAGGCAGAGTAACTACAGCTTTGGCCTCGTTATGTGTTGTTTCAGAGATTTTCTTAAGGTCAGAGGCAAAATCTTGAAAGCTTTATCTTGTACTGACGCTAAAATCATCAGACTGAAAATAAATATTGCGGTGGCGGTGATCCACCGACTTTTCTTGCGGTGATGCGGTGTTCGGCAAAATTTTTTGCGGCGTTGCGGTGTTCAGACCCCACCCCCCCCCCCATGTCCCCTTTTAAATTCTCCTCAGTGATTTACAGATCCAAATTTCGAAGAATGAATGGCAGCTTAAACTGAAGCTACATAAATTATGGGGAACTGCACTGGGACAAGATTGATCTTTAAGCAACGATTTTTAAAGTCCAGCTTGTTTTTCTAAAGATAATTTGACTCTTTGGGCTGGAGCGCGTCGTTCCTCCCTTGGTAATTACTTTTAAATTGGCTTAACAGTCTTGCAACCGCCGGTTTGATTGACAGATTAGAGATAAGGTCAAGGTCCATCTAGCACGGTATGAGCCGTTGTCAGCGCAGAGAATTGGCTTCATCGCCTAATGCAACCTAGCAGTAAATCAATCGAAACATCCATCTACCTTACTCAACTGGCTGTTTCCAAATGGCCAGAACTCAGATCGAAGTAAACCTTCTTTTTTGTATAGATGCGCTCCCCCAAAAAATAATAATAAGCAAAACAGAAAATAAAGTTACAGTCGTTAATGGTTTAGCCTTGGACCAGGCTCCGCCTTGGGGGAAAAGGGAGAAAAAAATTGACCCCGTTTTTTGCCTTTTTTCCCCACCACGGAGCCTGACCCCAGGCTCAGGCTATTAATGGTTAAGTCAAGAGCCTTAAACATCAAAGCTGCCTATTGCAAGAAAGCAAGTCTTAAACATTGTATAACGTTTTAATATTTCAATAATGAAAGCAGGAAACCCGTAAAAAAATTAGGGCGAGATCTAGTCTGCTACACAGCAGTTTTTAGAGCTGTCACCCAACGCTCCTCCACAAAAACTTTGTGGCTGTGTAGCGGACTATAAAGGGGGATCGGAATTCGCACGTAAAAACAGGCGGGATAGCGGAATTAAGAAGAAAAAAACTAGCGGGGAGGCGGGATTTGAGAACCCGGCTATTGTGGACCCTTAACCAGAGGTTCAACTGGATATGGTTTGGTGTCAATACCAAAACCTATCAGCTATTATTAAACATACATAAGGTAATGTCACACCTGTAGAGCGGGTTTTAAATTTCCAAGAAACTGACCAGTCGCTTTGAAGTTCTCCAAACCAGGAAGACACTCCAATTTCATACCACTTGTCGCATTCCAGAGATAAAAGATGAAAGGTGGTTGCAGGAACCTTTAATTCGCTCCATTCAGCTTCATCGCCTAGCGGCTTTATCTCCCTAAACCGTATAGTGGTCTTCGTTACGGTGCATACGTTCCTACTCCAAGTTATATTGACTTTGCAACCATGTATTTCCGATTCTTTGTTGTTTATCACGGGTGTAATTGGTTTGCCTTTAAATAATGAGAATAATACTGCGATTATTTAGTGATTTCCACTGATATATTTTCAGTGATAGATGAATGTAGAAAGGTACACCACTAAACCTACAAAACTGTCTAACAACTACAAAAACTGAAACCAGAATTAACGACCAGCACGCTGACGCCATCTTAAGTAATCGAGCTAATTATGTGCATGCGTTGAGTCCTGTAAAAAGAGTTCTTGATTATCACCGTTGATTAATTCCTGCGGGACCTAAGTCCAATGAATATGACAATAAGCAGACAAAAAATTTATTTCGTTACTTAAATTTACATGTAATTCTGCTCTCGGGCCAAAATAAGTGCTAACATGATCAATTTTGAGCTGTTAAACTAGCCAAAAGTGCAAATTATTACAATAGTTTTTGGAAAATTGATAAAAATTATTACGAATTATGCCAAAACATTATGCTAGCACAATCTTTAAAAGCCTGAAACCAGGACTATAAAAAGAACATTCAATTTTTTAACTTCCAACTGACCTCTATACTACTCTCACCTTTACTCAGGTCATAGACCTGCCTCCCAGATAAAGCTATTCCAGTCACATAAAGATCCATGACTGCTCCAACAAACACCCCATTTGCCATTGGCATCTGGACGAAATCTGGATCATTTCCTATGATATACTCTGACTGATAACGGCCTAACGATGAGAAGAAATACTCATTCCATTGGTCTATCAGTGCCTCCTCCGTACCATTAACGAACACCTTGATCTTGTGCAGCTGACAGGTTACTGCTACGTGATTCCAGTAATCGATTTGTAAGTCGAGAGCGTTGTGTATCGATAAAATGAGTCGGGAATTCTTGACCGTCACGTAAAATAGTTTTCCACCCTTTGACCAAAGTGCCAGTATAGGCCCGTCAACACCAATATACTTTACCCAAAAAGCAATTGTAAAGTCACAGGTTGTTATGTTAATGTTGGGCACAGTAGCATACGAACTATTCTGACTGAAAGTCGCTGCTTTGCTTCCAGGACACCAGCCTTTAGTATGGTTAACAGTACCAAAATACCTGTAAGATCACAAAAACCAATGAATGGAATCTAGCTGTGAATAAAAGAATTACCTGTCACTGGAACATGCAAGCCACTATTTTACTCTCGAATCCTACGTTATAAGACAAAAATTTAACCAGTTAACAGTGTGATGCCATCTGCAGCAGTCGGAAAGGCAAATGCATAAGTTTGAGGCGATACTGAAACCATTCTCAAGAGAGAATGGTAAATCAGAAAATATATTTAAGAGTTAGAGAAAGTTAAGAGGGGAAGCGAAATAAGAAAATAGGGGTAGGGCATAAAACGCCACATGTCCGCCCCCTCCCCGCACCAAACCTTGAACAAACAAGACATATATAACCCAACTTACCCCACATCTGGATCACTGCCATCTAGAAACCAGCGGCCGTATACGGGGTTTCCTAACAAAACGAACAAGTTCGGTTCGTTCCATTAGTAAAGATGGCGATATCAAACAAACCTCCAATAAGCTACTCTCGATTTCATTATACTTCGATCTTCCGCGGCACTTTATAATCTTTAGAATCATAAGCATTTAAAGTAGACCTAGGACTCTTTAACTGCGACAGAAAAAGGCATGTATATTTTGTTGTTCAATGTTATCCATGGTTTAAATTTTATTTTCGTTTGTTTTGGGGTATGGTAATGTATCATAACGAGTTTAAAACAAAGGAAAATGAAATTTAAACCAAGGAAAAAATTGAACCACAACATATACGCTCAATAACAAAGCGTTGAGATGAAATATCTCTTAGTTCGTCAGAATTTTATTTTTGTTTGTTTGTTATTGTTTGTTGTTTTCCCGAAGGGTCTCCACAATGCATAGGAACAACGTGAGTCATGAATTCCTTCTTTTCTATCTTGGGCATTCTATGAAGTTACGCCGAAGTCAAAGTATCAGAATTAAAGGTTTCTTGACTTAGGAGAAACCTAATTCAATATAGGAAATTGAATAGGTTTCTTCAGCGGTCAAGAAAAGCCATGACGGTTAATATTTATTTGGCAATACAGTAGTAAAGGCCACCAAAAGTGATAAATTAAACAAGGATTTGTTTGTATTTTTTCCTAATTCCACAAAAGAGGGACGTTACCAATGAAAAGTACCTTTACAGCCATATAGTTCCACCCTCATTGATATTTGGTTATGCCAAGCTGTTGGTTGAAAACGTGTGTAGCGTGCTACAATCGACCCATTGAGTTCGTTATAAACGATAGTATTCTCGTCTGTGTTGCCAACAAACACCTGAAGCAGGTCAAAAAAAGAAAATAAAAAACAGTACTTAGATGGACAATTCGTCGCGGTTTTTGCGCCATTTGCCAGCTATTCAAAATCGAAAGGATGACATTTTGTTTCACCACGTACTGAATTGCAGAACACCCTGGTCCCTGCACTCCTAGACGTAACCTCTGATTCGAATGAAAGCTGTTCATAGTAGCATGTAGTCATGCAAATATGATTGTCTTTGGTTGAGAAGTGGAATCATTTGGAGAAAATTTAATGTTTTCTGGTGAATATTATTGATGTTGTGATAGTATGGAGGGGTTTTTAACTCGATTATCGTACTTTTTTACAAGGGATTTTAAAACATACACTATGAATATGAAATTTGAGCGGGGGTTTTGGCGACCAAAAGGGAGCTTGTCCATTTACTTTTAGGGCGAAACAAGAAGTATCCTGAAATGACCTCTAGAGAACAGGTTAACGGCTGAGTCTTTCCAGTAACAGGGGGACATTGATTTTCTAGTTTAAAATAATATCATTTTCAAATAAACTTTTGCATTGTACTGTCAGACTTCTTTTGTTTGACAATTTTGCTGCTTCTCTGGTCTATTGCAGTCGGTTGTGACTTGGTTGTGAGTTGACTGGGGCCTGAAGCCGTTTTTTTCCTTCCAAAGAACTACCGACCATTTTTCTTTACGCGTTACCCTGATGCCTTTTCAGGTTCTGCAATAGGTTAGGCCCCCATTACAACTCTATGTGTTTGAAACTTCGAAACGCTAACAGCATTGGATTTTGGAGAACAAGTGAATTAAAATTTATACTTTTAGAAAACAGTGAATTTCAAAATTATTTTGAGGAACAGGGGAACTGTATAGTACAGCAAATGAGCCCCGACCACAACACCCCAAAAGGGAAAGGATGGCTAAAACGGACCACAAATTATCCTCGACCCCAAATGAACCCCCTTCTTGTTTGCTTGGTGCTGGAAACTTTTATTAGCCTCACTCACCCCGACTGACTGCTTAGAGGGAGTTTAATGAGGAATTAAGTATGGTGAACGAAATGACGAAGAAAAAAAAGTACAGTTCACTAACGAAGGGGTAAAGGATGCACAAGATCTCAAAACGTACAAGATCATTACTTTGATAATTAATTTTTGGGTTTGAGGGTTACATGCAGTGAAACAGATTACTGAACTTTATTTTGCTTCCTCGGTCAACTATTTGCTGTATCTACTGTTTTTGACAAGCAAGAATCACATCTTTAAAAAAGTAACAAACTCCCCACAATGTAAAAGTCTGCAGAGGTGTCTAACCTTGTGTTCACTTTGTCCTTGTTGTTTGTACAACTGGAAATTAAGACCGTCGTCGCTGTATTTCAGCGTGTAATTTATTACCCACTGGCTCTGGAAATTACTTCCTTGAGTTGCCACCCGTGTGACAGTGAGACGATTGCTACCTAGATCAATCTGTAGCCATTGCTTTGCGTCATTAGCGTAAGCTGACCAAGATCCTTTCAAGTTCAGTCTACCCTGGCTGGCCTCATGGTTGGCATTGAGCTGTGACGAAGCACTAATCTGCCCGTCAGAGATCGCTCCTTTCTCCATACCGAGAGCCTCTTGACATTCTAAATAACAAAAAAAATTAAAAGGCAATGCCACAAAGATTGAGTGCTACTTGCAAAAATCCAGTGTCTCTCTCAATGAAAATTGCATAAAAAGCTGCCTTGCTCTTTTTAAGAGTTATGAAACACTACATTGAGGTGTTTCGATACAGTTTCTCCGAGACCATACCGAAGTTTTTCAATCGCTCTAAAAGTAATTATATCCTTGTCCGAACGCCACCAAACTTTTGCCAGTCATTTGACTATGAATTGAAGTTTGTCAAAATGCAGTTTTTAGTAAAATCGATATCACTGTGACAACAATAAACAAAAAACTTTAAAATCGATGAAATCTGAATTTCGCGCGATCTAGACCTGCTACTGAAAAGCCGACACCAAAAAATTAACCCTCGGACGTACACGCAAACACATACCAAATACAAATAATTTAATTAGCGATATGCTGTTTTTACACACGGCCTCCTTGAAAAGCAGGTGTTTTCTTCTCATCTTTATTATTTTAGTTTTTATCTTAGATTCTAGATTAGTTAGGTAGTTAGTTTTTCTATACTTGAATGTAAATGTACCTGAAGGAAATACTGTGTATAAATAAAGTTACCATACCATACCATACCCCCACCGTGGTACAAGGTGGTGGGAGGTGGTGGATGGAACCCCTCCCCGGCGTTTTTGACATGTTGTAGTATTTGGAAACGATTTTACCTTTAGTGGAAAGCTTTTGATCTTCTTAACATGATAAGGTATATTTTATGGGTGATGGCGCTACTGGAGGCCTGTTACGTCACCAACAATGGTCACCATCTTGGCTGCCATCTTGGATTTTACCAAGAATAAGAAATCAGGCTAAAACCGCGAGAAACGGTAATTTTTTTAGCTTTACATGAAAAATAACACATAAGTAATTTGCATGATTTTAGTCACAAGATTTACTTTTGTTGTTGAAAGAAGTTGAAAAAACATGTATTTTCACACAAAAATTGCATGACCACCTGCTACTTATGACGTCATATCTCGTAATCATAGCAACTGATCATTACTGAACTTGTCTCAAAATGTGCGCGAGGGATGAACGAACAGGTAATGAAAACGTCAGGTGCTGATGTTTTATCCTGTAGGAAAAAACCCCCCTTCACCTCCCCCTCGTACATCCGAGGGTAAAAGTGCAGTGTTTAGCAAATAACCTCAGCGAGAACTAAAAAATTCTCAAATTAATCTGAAGTAGCGTCAGAAGGTTGCTTAATATCATATTTCGATGCATAGCAATTTTGGTTTACTTCCTTTCTTGCGCTTCTGAAAACTAACCTGTTTTGTCACCACCTGTCTAAGAGCAACTTAATTCTAAATTTTGACTTTTAGCGCTTTTCTGTATATCTCTAAAACGGCTCGACAAAATTCTGTTTAGACCTCATCACACAATCACCATGATGTATACATTAATATGTGAAACTTTCATCGAGATTAATTGACTGCAACACCCTTAAAAATTTCAAGACGAATCTAGCTTACGAATCTAGCTTACGAATTTGGTCGGTTCGTAGGGGAGATTCGTCTTGAAATTTTAAGGTGTTGCAGTGAATCAATCTTAACGAAAGTTTCAGACATTATTATATACATCATGAAGATTATGAGTTAAGGTGTGAAAAGAATTCTTTCGAGCCGTTTTAGAGATATACAGAAAAGCGCTGAAAGTCAAAATTTAGAATAAAGTTGCACTTAGACAGGTGGTGAGAAAACAGGATAGTTTTCAGGAGCGCAAGAAAGGAAATAAACCAAAATTTCCATGCATCGAAATATGATATTAAGCAACCTTCTGACATTGTTAAGATAACTGAGTTATTTAGAACTTTTTCATTAAACAATTTATCACGGCTATTGAAAATATAAGGTTTGAAGTATATTTACGTTTTATTTGAATTTAAAACATACAGAATTTTTTACTTCTCACGGAAGTTATTTGCCAAATACCACACTTTAAGTTCCTGGTGTTAGACTTTCAGTAGAAGTTCTAGATCGCCCGAAATTCGGATTTAGGGACCGGGGGGGGCAATGATTTTTTTTTTTTTTTTTAGCACTGGTTTTCAGTGGCCCACCCCCGAGTTATTTGACAAAATTGGGGCGGCCCACCCCTAGAGTGGCACAGGAAAAATTAGTGACTCACCCCCCAACCAAAACCAGTAACGCTGATGTGGATAGGTACATTAGTATGACCTTCACTGCCAGCTGTCATCTATGTCATTGCAAGCAGCAATCCCAGAAGGCGATTCAGAAGAGGAACCCTTAAAGCCTACTGACCGCCAAGCAATTAATCATAACATTAAAAAACTTCAGGATTTGAAAGAGAAATCTGAGAAGCTGAAGAGTAGTATCCAGAAAGAGAATGCCTAGCGGTTCACTAAAAATTCTGGGAAAATCATCAGTGGGCAAGAGTGTGGGCAACGCTTCAATGAAAAATGCTTGGGAATGATTGCAGAATTGCAAAGTAACATTGACCAGACTTTGATGAGGGCAGAGGCCCAAAAAGAAAAACACAAGAGAATGTATCCTTTTGCAAAAGAAACATTCGTCTCGAAAAAGAGAAGACTGAAAGAAAATAAAGCAAAAGCTAGGAAGCGACGCCGTGAAAGAGCAGAGAAAAATTGTGAGAGAGTGTTCTCCGCAATCAGTCACTCATCATCTTATGGTGAAGTTATAACCTCCGATCATTGTAGTGTGATAGGCCTTAACAACTTAACAAAGAGAGATGGTAGGTGGTTAAAACTATTAATAAGTAAAGGTAAATTTACAGTAGATGCTATTGAAACAATCAGAGCAAACGTGTCACCAGTTGTATTGAGTGCTAGATGATAGTGATGATGATGATGATGATGATGATGATGATAACGAGAAGGAGGAGGAGGACGAGGAGGAGGAGGATGGTAATGCTTCTGAGGGTGATGGTAATGGTAAAGATGACTAAAGATGATTAGAAGAAGATATCAAAAAAGATGTTAACATAAATTAGGTTTATGAACACACAGTAAAGCTTTGTTCTGGATTTTATACCATAACAAGTTTCCCGCGTGACTACTCTTCAGATTTAAAGACTGTACATAAATAGAAACAAAATGTTTAATCTGTGAATTCCTGTTGTCATATAAAGTTGGATTAATGTGGAAAATTAGATTTATTGTTAAAAAAGATTTTACTAACGTTTGTAGTGATATGTGAATAATTTAACATGACCCACCCCTAATGCAGTGCATTATTTTTCCTGACCCACCCTTTCTAACGTGTTAAAAAATAGTGACCCACCCCCAATTTTTCATAGCCCACCCTCACCTGTACTTTATGACCGGTCCCTTAATCGATTTCAAATTTACTAGAAATTGCATTTTGCGAAACTTCATTCAAGGCGATCGAAAATAATCGGTATGGTCTGCGAAAACTGTATCGAAACACCTTAAAATCTTTAAACGATAATTCACTAAGGGCGAATGGGAAAGAAGGGGACTAAGACCCACTGAGTTCAAACGTCGAACTTTTCATGTACCGAACTTAATAGCAATTTGGGTCGACCCAATTGATAAAAGTCCGATGGTTGTTTCCTACGTCAAACCAGAAACTCATAAAGGGTTGAAACGTGTAACTCGCGTTCAATGCTCTTGAATATTCACTTTTACCATATTTGGAAACCTTAGTGACGGGTTTCCATTCATCAACAAAATGGCTGCCGCGCGATCACCATGCAGATGTTTTAAGACAAGAGTTCTTCATTTCAAGGTTAAAAATACACCGGTAAAAGACAAAAAAATGGAAAGAGAAAGTTCAAAAGAATGCTCAGCTTTCTTTTTGTGGAGGAAGGAAAGCTTTTCATCAAGAAATCAGGGGCACCCAACGACCGTTTTCTGGAAAATATCTGTTCGGAGCCCTCTAGAATGGCTAAAATTTTCGAGAGCCCAAGAACAGCTAAAAATTTCGAAAATGTTTCGTGGTGACTGTTTGCTGGGCTCAGAGTTTCGGGATTTGTGTGGTGTGTTCACCTAAGAATTTCGGATTTTGTAGTAATCTCTAGATTCCTGCTAGCCGCGTGACAAAACCATTATACTCAAAAAGGCAGACAAGGGAACAACATCCGTCATGATGAGCAAAGAAAGTAAGATAAACGAGGGTTTAGCTTTGCTGAATGAGAAGAACGATTATCAGCCCCTCACTCAACCTATGGTTGAAACCACAACCAGAAAAGTTGCGCAGCTAATTAAGTCGCTGCTGTAGGAAGGCCACATTGACGATATGACAGCCAAATGGCTATCCCTAACGCCTAATCCTCCGAGTATCCCTATTTTCTACACACTTACAAAGATTCACAAACCGACGCCTGTCTGTAGAACTATAATATCAGGGTGCGATGGCCCCACGGAGAGAATATCTGCATTTGTAGATCGACTCATTCAGCCAATAGCACAGAAACGAGACTCGTATCTAAAAGATACTACAGACTTCCTGAATTTTATTGAGAGTACAAAATTTCCTAAGAATACGGTCCTAGTGTCTATGGACGTTACTAGTCTCTACACCAACATACCACAAGAAGAGGGCGTAACCACCGTATGTCACGCATACGAAGATTTTTACGGAGACAAAGCCCCTATACCTACCAAGTACCTTAGAGAAATGCTCTACCATATATTAACAGAAAACTCGTTCCAATTCTGAGGTAGCAACTACCTACAAACCCATGGAACAGCCATGGGAATAAAGATGGCCGTTGCTTTTGCAAACATCTTCATGGCCAGAATAGAAAGACAAATATTGAGTCAGAGTTGCATCAAACCGCTTTTTTGGAAAGGGTATATTGACGATGTGTTTTCGCTATGAAACACAAGTCTAGATAAAATAGAGAATTTTGTGAAAAGGCGAATAACTTTCACTCTACGATAAAATTCACGGCTGAGATGTCAGAAACAGAGATCACGTTCTTGGACACAAAAGTGTACAAAGGAGTAAGATTCGACAAGGAAGCAATCCTAGACGTGCAAACACATTTCAAACCAACAGAAACATTCCAGTACACGAACTTCTACTTGTGTCACCCACCAGGCGTGAGAAAAGGCTTCATCAAAGGGGAAGCGCTCAGGCTTCTAAGGACTAATTCCTCGCAAATCACATTTGAGAGGAATATCAGAAATTTTCACAACCGCCTGTTAGAAAGAGGCTACCCTGCAGCTATTTTAAGAAAGTACCTCTCTGAGGTAAAATTTGCCGACAGGAAAACAGCCCTACAACAGAGAAACAAATCCGCACGCAAAAAACTTCTACCTTTTGTTGCACAATACCACCCGGCTTTACCTAGCCTGAAGAAAATACTTATGGGGAAGTGGCACCTTATACAAAACCAGCAACGACTAAAAGAAATCTTTAAGGAGCCTCCCTTCATATTTTATCGCAAGGGAAATCTCTTAAGACCTACTAGTTAGAGCGAAGCTTTGAAGGTCATACTACTTCCAATACGATTTAGTGCAGGAGTCGTGTGATGCCCGTCGCTTATTTTTAACCTTGTTTAAACTGTTTAAAGAACTGTTATAAAACGCGTAATCTTCTGATCTTTACTATCCCATTTTGCGTTCTGCCTACTGGACCTATTCGGCCTATTCTTCAGATTCGCCCCATCAGCTGTCCTCTCCTATTACCATAGCACCCATCCCAACTCTGCCAACTGCCTTAGCTGACTGCGTTCAATGTGCGTTGTAATCAGTCAGTGCCATGCCGTATTTCAGATTTTTCAGTAAGTGCCGTGCGAATTGAGTTCGACAAGGTACAAGACGTTTGAAACTGGCTTTAAAATCACTGAAATGCCTTTTCTTTTGTTCTTATTTTTGTTCTTCTTATTTTTTAATTATAATTATTCTTATTATTACACCTAGAATTTTCTATACATTCTACGTCGCCCTAGAAAATTCGAAAACATTTCCCAAGAGATAAAGTTTTCGGAAAAAATTTGAAAGGACCGCTAAAAATTTCGGCTAAGGGAAAAGCTCGTCAGGTAATCTTACGTTTTCGGAAGGCTTTCACTGTAGGCTGTTCTTTTCGGGAAGGGCGAAAAACAGCCCTAAAAAATTCGAGAGGTTCAAACCACTCCTAGGACGACCGAACAGATAAAATTTTTTTAGCGATGCGAATTATTCATTTATATTGCTTTTAAAGCACTCCAGGATGCATAACGAGCCATTTCAGATCATTTCCCAGAAAACGGTCGTTGGGTGCCCCTGAGAAATCGTCTTTCGAGGAATTCAACCCTGTTTTCTTCACGCATGGTCTGTTAAATGCAACCAAGGCAGCGAAGTTTTTACTGAATTTTCAGGTACATTTTGCACTTTATGGACAAGACAATTACGTTTTTGAAAGGGAATTTATGTATTTTTAAATGTTTCATAGACGTTTTATAAATTTTTCTCTTCGGCGCTAAAGAAAAATTACAAAATGTGCCCCAATTTGAGATGGATTTTGTGTTGAATTTTGCCATGGGCTCAGCTGATTTCAATTGCGTGAGCGGATCCACGATCCAGATAGTGTTTTCCGAATTGCTTTAAAGGATTAACCTTTTGGATTTTGAATAAAAATTTTCAAGAAATGGCTTCTATGTCTATTATGTTGACTTTGTTTATTCATAAAATTAGCTCCAAACATGATCGTGACTGCAACATCCAAGCTGAATTTAAGCTTAAATGCTTCTCACACTCATTACACGCATCACTTTTTGCGCAGATGTGAGGTTCAGGTTTTGGACACTGATACGCAGCTAATGAATTTTATTCGAAAATATTTTTTGCTGTTTATTCTAGACTAGTAATATAAGAATTTTAAAAGCCTATTTGCAGTTTTTAGTTTACTGTGCAGAGGGTCAACGAGTCACCGTTTTATGAAGTGACAACTTCAAGAAGTTACGAGGACGTCAATGGGTTTCACAATGTTACGTTTGGCCCGGGTGGTAAGGCAATAATATCGTGCGTAAGTATGTCGGTAAGATTCCTGGCTTCAACCTTTGAAAGCTTTCTCGGCCTTCGGGAGTTTTTGCCCCGTTAGTCGGCCTTTTTTTAAGCGGGCGCGGAAACGTGAAGTAAAATTACGTCACGTTGTTTACGAAGTTTGATTGGTCAGTTATCTCTTCTCATCGTTCCAAATATGGTACTTTCGAAAATGAATAATCATGAGCATCGGACAAAGCAAACATATGAGAGTTACACGTTTCAACCCCTTATGAGTTTCTGGTCAAACTTAATTGGTCGGGCTTAATTCATTTTCAACAAGTACATAGTCTACAACGTTTACCAGTGAAAATAAATATAAGTAGAGTAATTTTTGCATTAGGTTCGGCACATGAAAAATCAGTCGACATCGCTCCTAAGTCGAAATTCCCACGTGCGCATCGGTCGACCCAAATTGGATATGTCAGACTTAATTGATTCAAACGTCAATCTTTTTCTTGTACTTAATTGAAGGATTAGGTTCGATAATAAAAAGTTCGACATTTGAACTGGGGCTCACAAAAAAAATCATTGAGGCGACGTTTTCACTGCTCGCAATGTTTTGGTATAGAGGGTTTTCACCCACGTGGCCAGCGTCCACGCAATTTGGCATACCAACATGGTGGACGTGACTTAACCAGTGACTTCAAGCTTTAATTCTTTTACAACATCCTTACCATTATTTTTTAACGCTGCTTGGAACATCAAGAGAAAAACAAGGGTAACAAGAAGCAAAAAAACAAAAATTAGAGTTATACGAACCATTACAACTGACTTCGTTCACTTCCTCGCTCCAGTATCCTCTTATTCCGCACCGAACAGATGAAGGACCACTAATTTGTTTTCCAGTAGCGCAGGAAAATGAGCAAATTGAGTGGTATCTTTGATTGTATAAAACACAATTGTCGGGCAAAATTTGTACCTCATTTAAGGAGAGTTTTTGGCACGTAAATTCTTTAAAAGAGGAGATATAAAGAAAGTTTAAAAAGTAAAGGAGATAAACAATCACGACACTGGTAATAGATTACTTAGACCTTTAAATGTGTCAAAAAGTTTATAGCTGCGTTTTGCCTTTGTCTAAAGCAATAATTATTACAGTTTTCTGGGACTCATCCTCAACTTAGGCTCTTCATTAGTTGAAATTTATGTTTTTTGTTTTGTTTTGTTTTGTTTTTTTCTTCTCATTTGTTGTCTTTTTAATTCAATTTCATTAGAATGCTCAACACAATGGAATGAGACTTCTTCCAACCGAAAAAGAAAAAAAAAACACACTTTTCTTTTCGCTATCTTCTCGAACATGCAGTCACTGGTATTGAGCTCATGAACGTAGGGAAATTTTAGCAACCTTCCTTTTTCGCGAAGAGTTATTTGTGTCCTTGATTTCAGTTAAGTTTGCGATTCGCCTTAGTCTGCTACAACCTAGTTTCCAGGGTTCTATTTTACTCTTCCTCCGAAGTGTCTCTCTCTCATTCCGGAGAGAAGGAGAGGACCCTGGGAAGGAGGTTGTGTTTACTGCAGAATCGAACATAAAACCATCGTGCAATCTTGTTACAAATCTGGTAAAATATTATCCAATTCTCCAGAAAACCGCTATTGGGCAGTGAACGCAGACGAATAACTGCGACTTAAAGACAATAAAGAGTTTGTGTGTGTGTGTGCAGAAAATATAAATAGGTAGGTAAGGCCCCTTCGTTACTAGTAACTCTTGAAAATGCACTACACAAGTGCATCGCATTAGTTAGTATAAAATATAAAATGCTAGGCTAGTCCTTTAGCAACTATTATTATTTCAATCTACACCATTGTGACTTTTCTTTTTTAAAAAACAAAAAAAAAATTGACAGAATACATTTGAGATACGTCTCTTTGAATATAAAACTATTTCATTTCTTGTTGTCTGAAAATAACGTGACCTACCCGACGATAGTTCACAAGAATAATGAAGAGAAGTATTACAGTTCAAGACATTCCATTTCCTTGACGGATACATTTCTACGCAATCTTCAGTACCATTCCACTTGCTTGATTGGTTAGCAAAGTTTAGGTAAACCGCTAACGAACCATCAATCCATTGCCAGCGTGAGTTGTTACTTGAGTCACGGTGCAAACCAATCCATGTTCTGTTTCCCCAACCAATTTCTCGTTGTTCAGCTGGTGAATCCAACATTGCGAGATTAGATCCGAGTGCTTCACACGCAAATTTTGCCGCGATCCATTCCAGGGAATTAGAGGATAGTTTATAGCACGAAGATTGGTGTTTAGTCCAGTCAAGAGGGCAACCTATAAAAGATAATTAATTATATAAAAACTGATGTCGACAGAATTGTTATCTCTTCAATTGAGTTTAAGACTGCTCTGATTCCCTATTATGCGTACAGATTAGGCACTAAATTGAGATTTGAGATAGATCTTTGAATTTTAAAATCTGGTCATGTTTCTAAATATTTCTTCACTGTGCATAAAATTAGATATACACAAAACTTGCTCAGGGCAAACATAATACGAAAAAGTACAAACTAGGAGGAAATAAGGGGCAAAGATGGTAAATACCGCATTTGCCCGTGAATTTGCAACCCTATCATGTAAATTAGGATGCAATTGCCTTATTTACCATCTTTGCCCCTGGTTTCTTCCTAGTTTGCACTTCTTTGCATCATATTTGCCCCGAGCAAATATTTGGTGTTAATCTAGAATTTTTCGTGCAGTGCTGATTGAACATGCCCGTCGGTCATTTCGAAGTGCTTTAAAATAAGCGCGCCTGTACTTGGCTACGTTATACGTTTTTGATGCATTGACGCTACAAGATTTTTCTTATTTTCTTATTTACAACAAAGAAATGAAGGACTTGGTTGATTAGTTCTAACTCGGAAATAACCAGTGATAAGGCGGTCCTTGTATTCTTTTTCCTTTGGAGGCAAATTTTCCGTGATTTTCGCGCTCTCTCGAGAAAAAAAATCGTTTTTTTTTTAATCATTGCAAGGTTACGCAGAACTTTGGCGCTACATTGGTATGGGGAGTTAGTTTCATCTACGGAGTTGATAAACTTGATTTCTGCTCACCTTAAAAGATTTAAGAGCTGACCCCTCATGTTATATTCTTTCTGAATATAATAAATGCCACCATCCACTGACTGTCTATAGCTTCTGTTCACTTTCCCGGTTTCTCTTAACGAATATCTCTAGGCTCCCCAGACTTGTAGGGGAGAACAGGGGGGTTGGGACACGGGAGAATACATGGGGGAGAGAGGGGTGCGGGAGGCGGGAGAGAAAAGGGTGAAAGGCAAAAGAAATAGAGGGAAATTATTCAAAAATGCTTAATACTTGGCAATGGAAAAAGAGCTAAAGGGAGGAAACCAAGAAAAAAAGGGGCTTTTGAAAAAAAGCTTTTGAGATTTATTCAACGATTTATTCAACTTTAATACTTAGTTAATATGAATAATTTATCTTCTCAAAAAACATGAATGGTGCAATCAAAGATGATGAAGTAACCAAGCAAGCTCGTAACTTTTAAAAGAAGAAGAAGACGAGAAACCGCCACCAGCTGTTGGGTTTTCTAATAACGGAGACGAGACACGATAATTTTTCTGAGAGGTTCGACAATAAAAGAACGGAAATGATAATACCAGATAATACCAACGAAGCGACATGTGACGCTAAGTGTCATAAAAGAGTCTTAAAAGCGAATCTCATAGCAAGAGAATGTGATTACTAGACAAAGAGAGTTCTTATCGACTTGAAAATGCCTAAACTGGAAGAAATCTTCACAACAGTTGTCATCTTGGTCATTGCTACGATAGACTCGCAGTTTTCGCGAGTATTCTGCTTGGAGCTAGTGGATATCGATGGATACCTTGATAGACTTTGGAGATGAACTGTATGGTAGTCAGAGATCAGTAAAGATGAAAACTAAAAGAACCGTTTACGACTACGAAAATGCTTAAGCTGACACAAATCCTCGAACATTTAGCGGTACGAGGCAAGTTTGTGGTTTTTTTTTTTTCTTTTCTGTTCATTGTATAAAACAAACAGATTCCATGTTGCAATGGGTCTGTTCGGTAATAGATCACAGAGGACGTCAAAATGTGGTGAAAATATCAGTGATTCTCCCGTCTACGGCTCGTGTGCCACTTCGCTGTTTTTACCACTGTGATCTATTACTGAACAGACGCATGGCAACATGGAATCTATTTGTAAAGGGTATTACAAAGTGCGATGATTGTTACAAATTTGCTACACTACACACCCTAAGTTCCTTCATGCCTGATGTTATATTCTGTTAAAGAACGCGAAAACACAATTTAGAACGTTAAAAAGGAAGTGGGAAAAATAAGGATAAAATGAATTTTCATAACCGAAATTGGAATAGTTGCAAGAAGGTATTAGGTCAGTAATCAGTATTCCAAACAGGAACAGCCCCGTTCAAATAAGTTTAATTACAATGTTTAATATTGTTAATATGATGGAAATTGTACCGTTTTCTAAGATTATCTTAACAAAGGAAATTATTACAAAACTCTTACGTTGCCGTAACCTGACGGACTCGGAGGGTTACGGATCTAAACTTTTATTTTATAACCAAAGTATTTTTTTTTATGGATATTTTCGTTAACTTTTGATTCTTGTAATTCTTTTTGAGTTTTGTAATCATCGATCTTTTCAATCAATCTTCCTCTTTGCCTTAAGCTGCTCACACCTCTTAAACTGGAGCTGGCGTTTTAAATGAAAAAGTCTTGTAATCACCTGGCTTCGGTAAGAAATAATTGCTATCTCGTACTGTTTGATTAAGCGTGTTACCTTGTGAATAGTTCATTAAAGTTGCACGATAAAAGATGTAATACTAGCTCTTAAAAGATGTAATACTAGCTCTCTCAGCTGTCTTGCTCTCGGATAAGCCCGCCTTTTCATATTTAATTTGTTTACTACTAGGAGTTAATATTGTAATCGGCCGAAACATTTAGTTACAATTTTAATATGTTTTTACGAAACTTGTAATCGAAATTTTATTACCAAACTGATGCTTGTAATTTTTCCCTTAAGTCTGGGGTTGTGTTTAGGCCATCCCCATAAAATGTTTCGTTTCCCATCGCCCTCCCTCTCGTGAAGGCGGGTCGGTCGGTCGGGCAAAAAAATATATATATATGAACACATGATTGCATATTAAATCTCACGCTTAGTCTGCAAGATATAATCAGATGGTAAAAGATGTATAATATATAGATTTAGCCAGGGCTAAAAGCGAAGCTCCCGTTAATAAATTCATAATTTAAATCAAACAATAAACTTGCAATTGTAATCCACAGATCAGGGCACATTCATTTGACTTTTGAGGCAAAGGCTGAGTGATTTTAGAGAAAAATCAGAATTTGACCGTCCAAGAGTGCAACAAATTTTACATCGAGTTATTAAATAGTCTTATTTGTACACCGAAAAATAGCAATCATGTTCGATCACAGTAGATTAGGCCTGGAAAACAAATAGACCTATTCGTGTATTGTATTTGCATTCGCTGTTGCATCATAATGTGGCATTCACTAGTCTCACCAACATTGCTCCGTTAGAGAGACTATGGATAATTGGATAACCTCGAATTATAATTTTAAGAAACACACGCGCCACGATAGTCCTTGGTGGCAGCCAATTTACAAGTTGCATTCCTCTGTCTAAAAGGGAGGCCAAAATAAAAAAATCAGGCCGGATTTTTTGTGTTCGACAAGTTTAGTTTACTATAGTAAATCTTGGCGACGAATCTGATGGCGTGTAAACCAGCCTTTGAAACATACTTTTTCTCATCACGTCTCAGGTAAACAGTACTATGAGGCCCTTTTTTTATCATACAGACCTCGGACAGAATTTGTTCTTTTTTGCTCTATTTAAACCTATAATTCTGCAGTTTTTCACAATTTTGCAAGAGAATTTGCACTCATTCAATATCCACGACGATCAAAGCACGCGCTTCGTTTGCACAACAAATTATAGCATTGAATTGTAAAACATTTTCATGAAAAGAATTCTATAATGCCGGGACTTTTCAGTTAGAAAAATCTGGTCCTAGATATGCAGGGTAATAATTATGGGCTTTTAATGAAAACGATAAAAAAAATTCCCAAAATCACTTTTCGGCCAGCCGGACGGGTTCTCACTTTTCACAGGCACCAAATTTGCAGTGCGATTAATAGAGTTACCATTCACGCTTCAACATGATAGAGAAATTGTTATGTTTAGGTTTTACTTCCCTTTATTCATTAAACTGTGCATGATTTTTTTATGTGTAATCTTTCAAAACGAGTGATATTTACGCGCGGCGTTTTGAGTATTCTTGCATGCGATGTTTATGTTCGACTGGAAATTAAAAAAAAAAAAACCGGTGCAGCGATAAAAATTGCGAGAGGGACTACTAACAATCAATAAAATAAATTTAATTCGGTGAAACATGTACAGAGGCAATAATTTTCATTCACGAAGAGAAGTATTGAGAGTAAAATGTCTCAGAAAATCATGAGTCAGGTAAGCATAAGCTTATTTATGTTTTAAGCCTGCTTCCCGGTGTTTTCTCTTTTTCAAGATGAACTCGAGGCAAGAAAATCCATCAGAGCTTTCTGTTTACTGCCAAAATCATAACTAAATAATCCTCGGAACCTTTTCTTTGAATTTGCGGGTCAAAAAGTTACCATTCACGCTTCAACATGATAGAGAAATTGTTATGTTTAGGTTTTACTTCCCTTTATTCATTAAACTGTGCATGATTTTTTTATGTGTAATCTTTCAAAGCGAGTGATATTTACGCGCGGCGTTTTGAGTATTCTTGCATGCGATGTTTATGTTCGACTGGAAATTAAAAAAAAAAAACCGGTGCAGCGATAAAAATTGCGAGAGGGACTACTAACAATCAATAAAATAAATTTAATTCGGTGAAACATGTACAGAGGCAATAATTTTCATTCACGAAGAGAAGTATTGAGAGTAAAGTGTCTCAGAAAATCATGAGTCAGGTAAGCATAAGCTTATTTATGTTTTAAGCCTGCTTCCCGGTGTTTTCTCTTTTTCAAGATGAACTCGAGGCAAGAAAATCCATCAGAGCTTTCTGTTTACTGCCAAAATCATAACTAAATAATCCTCGGAACCTTTTCTTTGAATTTGCGGGTCAAAAAGTGTCTAAAGGCTTTTTAAACCTGATACTATTGTAGGTTAGATAATTGCTCGTGTATAAACTTAAGCCGCATAAACCATACGCTCGACTTCAGGAAACCGAAAAAAAAACACATCAAAGACAATAATTGCTCAGGCTTACCAGTCGAGATGCTGCTTCTGAAGGTCTTCAAGTGTTCCAGAATCGCTTGAGACTTTTCAACCCTCTTACGCCTCAAGTGAGTAAGCTCATTTTTGAAAACGGTGCCATCCGAAATCGGATTTCCAATGACTTTGACAAGCGGTGCATTTGTCAACAAAAAGCGCAATAAGCAAACCAGCCACGAATTACAGAACAATGTTGATAGCAGCTGTATTTCATTTTGTACACCAAGTAGAAAAAGACAGTTTAAAACATCACAAGATGACACAAAACTCTGTCAGCTCCAGCTATCAGTAAGCAAGTTTCCAGACGCTGCATAAATTTTCCCCATAAACTCACCTGTCAAATTTTGACCAATCAGAACATAAAAATTGGACGTAGAGCGTGATGAACACGTGACAGTGAGAAAAGTCAAAAGCGATTGCCTTCCCTGCATTTAAATGTAAAAGCCGGTTGAATTTTCGTGTCCGAGGTCAGTTCGAAATCAACATTTTAAAAAAGCGCCTCATGAACACGACTTATTTCATATGCATTTTAAAAAAATTGAACTTGAGCCTGCGATCATTTGAAAAGTAGCAACTTGTCAGCGGATACCTTAAAAAAATTACTCGAACTCAGAGGGTCTATACCTGACCCCGCGATACGGTCAGGCGATACTGGTCAGCAGAAACATTGGTATGCCTGTGGTGCGGACAGAAGGAAGGTCGGGTGTTCGGTGTACGGTCACGTGCTTGCCGAATTTTCTAGGATGGACAGATTTTCTATAAAGCTATGGGGCTTCGAATTGAGCCTGTGATCAAATAAAATATATGCGCAAAACTTTAAACACTACGTGACCTCAATGGATAGAAAAATGAGCCCGCGATCCACTCAGGTGATGATGGTCAGCGTATACTCTAGTTTGACAGCTGTCAATTAACCTTCATTAGAATGGCGAATATTCGAATTAACGGACTACAAGTGTGAGTAGGACATATCCGTCCGGCATGTAGTGGAAAATGCCAGATCGTGTACCTGAGCGAACCTGAGCCCACGTTACTAGTTTTCTGATTGTGGTCTGCACATGTCCCATTTTGACAGCTGTCAATTGAACTTAATTTGGCTTCCCAATGTAACTTTAAACGACTGTCAGTCAACTGACAGCCTTGCCCAGCGTAGTTTCGTTTTTATGTTGAATTGGTAAGTGTGACATATTATGTCAGCTTATATATAGGGGTAAAACGACTGGTCTTTTATCTGAGCCCGCGAGATGGTCATGTGATAATTGTCAGCGGATGTCTGATTTTGACAGCTGTCAATCTAATCGTACTCATACGGATGGCTTACATAACTAAGAGGCTAGTCAAGTTGTGCAAGATCTATTGTGACATTTGACATCGGCTTACATGAAGTGTGTGTACGGGTGGGCGTACTCTACGTCATAACCAAGTTTTCTCGGATGGATAGTTTACCAAATTTTCTTACCCATGGTGCTCCGCTGCGCGCGCGCTTCGCGCGCGCGGGAGCTCCGCTATTAACAGGACTATCAAATGTCTAAAAAGGCTACAATTGGTGTTAATAAGACAAGATCGTGTGCTTCTAAATTAAAGTACTTGTTTCTTCACCTTCCAAAAAAATGGGTCGGTCGGGCGATGGGAAACGAAACATTTTATGGGGATGGCCTTGTAAGAAGCAGTTAAGTTCTAGTATTGAAAATCTACGAAATGTGTCAACCTTGCTAGTACGCATCATCAGGTAGCAGCTGTGTTCTCGAAATTCATGAACTGAGTCTGAATGACAGTTCGCACCTTAAAGTGTGTACTCGGCTGTTTCTCCAGAAAAGTAGGACGCTAGACCTTACATTGCCTTTCTTGAAACTGAAATTGTAAAGTTACCGTGAAGAGAAAGAGCGCATTAAATAACTGAAGAACTGAAGAAAACCGAGTGTTCCTGTATATAGCCGCCCCAAGCTAATCCCCTTTAACTGGGTTCCAGGCTATATTACAACTAGTAAAAGTTGACACTACAGCTGCTCCCGTTCTGTATATTGTCGGTCAATAGTATTCTTGCTGGTTGTGTAGCTCTTTGAAATATACCGATTCATAATGAAGATTTTCATACATATTCCATACAATAGGTGAGATAAATACAGGACACGCAAGGTTCCATACACAGTTTCAGCTCGATTTACACAGCTTTGATCAAAACATTCTCAGTTTCGAGAATAGTTTATTCCAAACCATAAGAAAAGATTTAATAAGAAGTTGAATTTTTCGCTATTTCTCAATCACTTTTTACATTCAGTTCATTTTATTTGCCGGAAGGTAAGCCCTAGAAATTAAAAGGACGTTTGATCTATTCACACTCGCGCATTCTAGTCTTATTTGACACTTTATAAAGGAAGGACATCTGTGAGCAGGGAATAAGTCAGCACAGAATTTGATTGTCGGCGAATTTCTGTAATTGTCCATCAATCTGCTAGTGATAAGCTAGCCGTTGTTCACTCGTCTTGTGTGATTTGTGAACTCGTGTCTGGCAAACTCTCCAAGTGTTTATATATACACAGTTAAACGCACCTTATAAGCTCATCTGCGCTTAACGAGTGTCTTTTGGTCCATAACTTTCAAAACAACTGCTCCACAGAATGTCACTGCGCAACGCAAAAGAGTATCGAAGTATGACTGCACAATAAATGTCACAAAATCTACCTGAGCGGTCCCCTCGGGATTTTCTGTCTTTACGTCATCCTAACCATTTCGTTCTTGCGGGCGCAAACAATAGAAACGTCATCATTACCTACCGATTCCTCGCGGCCCCTGTTCGAGCAAATCGAGATTTTTTCTAGTATACCGACTGTATATTTGAACTGTAAGTACTGTCCTTAATATACGCGCGAGTTACTAGGGTGCCTTCTCGGGATTTCGCGGGGGCAATTACACTCTGTATCTCGACCCTGCATGGTGATAGTATCACCTACCGCAGCCACCAGATCATAACATTCCAGGTCAGAATAAATATGTGCGACCTGAAGCCCTATATTACTTTCTTTCTTGTCTTAAAATCATGTATAGAGCGGTTTTCACTTGACTGTCGAAAGTAATTGGTTTTGGTTTGGTTTTGGTTTTACTACGCCCTTTAGTTTACTAGTGTATTTACTTTGGTTTTGGTTTTACGACAGTCAAGTGAAAACCGCTCTATATGTTCATGAAGGATGTTGTACTTACCATTGATTTCACAAATGTAAGGAATCCTGATATTATAACAGTTCCTATCATTCCATTTCTCTGACTTCATTCTGAATTCCACACAATCCTCGTTTGAATTAAAATTGTCTGGTTGTGCAGTATCCCAGGGAGTGAAATAAGCCGTTAACCCACCGACCCATAGCCATTGTCCCTTGTTTTTGGGATCCCTGTATAAACCAATCCACCAATAAGGTTCGCTTGCTCCTGCACTCTTCAACAACTGAGTAAATTCTCGTAATTCAGCTTTCGAATTCAATACAGCGAGGCTTGATCCTAGTGCTTCACACGCGGATTTTGCTGAGTTCCAGTCCAGGGAATTGAAATGGACTTTGAAACATCCGCCATAAAAACTTGAAAGCCAACCTCTTGGACAAAGTACTGTAAAGAAACAAGAGCAGTCGTTATTCGGTTGCTGGTACGGTGGTATTGTAATGAAAGTAAGAGTTGAAGTAAATGGTAAGTAATTAGCACAATGGATTCAAGAACTGTCATGGGTCTGTCATTATACTAGCATGCAGAGGAGGATACATATTGCTGAGCTAAGATTTTGAGTTGGTTTTTCGAATTAGATTTTCGAGTTAGGATTCGATATGGATTTCGAGTTGGATTTGCGAAAATAATCACCACGCATCAAGTTCGATCACAGTACGTAGGACTATTCATATGACAGACGAACTACTGAACCGCATGAAACTGAAAGTGAATGTATGATTTCATTTCCTTGTGTTTTAACTGAATTACCGATATACACTCTTTTTTTCTATAAGAATACATTTTTTGTAAGAATAGCGAGGCTGAAATTTGCAAAATTTTAAGAATATTTTAAGAATAAAGCCGAGGCTGAGATTTCGAAAAGGATGATTATTTGAGTGATGAAAATCGAAAAAATATGTTTTTTACTTAACCGTATCAAGTTATAAGACCTTGTGACGCCATCTTGACGAGTAGGCAAACGTGGGAGAAATTACAGTGTTTGTATATACCTCAAATTAGCCGAGTTTTCGGTCCGTACTGTAAATTACGGACCGAGTTTTTTTGTCATCGATTTATGACCCCCGCGCTTCGCGCTTAGGCCATAAATCGATGGAAAAAAACGAGGATCCGTAATTTACAGTCTGGACCGAAAAAACGAGGCTAATAAGATGTGTATTGTATGGCTTCTTCCTGTTTGGGGGACCGAAAACAAGTGCAGGACGCACGATCTGACTGTCATTTGACAGGCGTCAAAAAAGAAAGTTTTTATTGGCGCACGAAAACAATAGAACATAACAAAAGCTTTCCGAGAAATAACCTGAGATCAGGCTCTATTTCCGTTTCGCTTTGAAAATTACATTCCGGCGGGGTAGCCATTAGAGAGAATGAATGAGAACCGCTAAAATTGGGCCTGATCTCAAGTTATCCGAGAAAGTAAAAACAAATTCGCCATTTTGAAAAAGTTTATTCGGTCAAAACTAAGAGCACTGTAAGTTTTAGCTCTTTAATGTAACGCCGGAGTATTTTGGAAACCGGACACTGTGTCTGTCTAGAAGTCGTTTCCATCTTTCCTCCGTTTGTCCTCGTAAAAATAAAAAAAACACTGCAAAAGGCAAAGAAGCTTTTCAAGCTAAGTTTGTTGTCATTGTCGAAGGATTCGCTCGTTAATTGTTTTTGGGAAAACCTCTCTTTCTGCCAGTTCATTCTCGTCTTCAATTGTGATTTGCGTTAAAATTTTTTAACACTGACTAGAATTCTCTTCCTCGGTAAGGTTACGATTCAGTTTCTACATCAGCTTCGTTCTCATTGAACAAAGCTAGGTTAAAATTTGGAAAGGCAAAGGCGTAATCTACCCACCAGAGAAAAAATTCATTGGAACAAGCAGCATTTTGGCATGAGGTAAAAGTCGTGTGTTGCATAGTTTACACTTGAATGATTTTTTTTCATTTTGTTTTTATTCATGTATTTATTTGAGAAGTAAAATTTCGCTTTAAATCTGACGTTTTGTATACGTAATAATAATAAAATTGACACGATCACCCGCTAACTTGAGTGCAAGCCATTCCTATTTTCTTTCGGGATCATTTGCGGTTGACTTTTGGGATCACTTGCGGTCGAGGATCATTTGCGGTCTCCGGATCATTTGCGGTAGTGTACAGTCCTCCTTTTAGCAGAAATTTTTAATTAAGCGCCCGGGTGCTTATTCGAGGAAGTACGGTGATAACGCTGCGCACAGATTCTAAAAATAGTCTACGTCTGATAAGACCCCCCAAAGACAAACTTTGCTTCTCACTCAACGGCTTTGTATGCGCGTTTACCGAGTGTTGAGTCAAAACATTGTTTTTTTTCGGGTATTTTTATCGGGATATGGTAGAAAACAAGCGTTGCAGCTGGGAAGAATGTGAGAGGGACTCAAGGATCCCTGTGGTCTGAGTCACTAAATAAATGCGACAAATCCGGAGAGAATGCAAAGTGCGCTGTGTTTTGTGGCAGTGATCAGGCAGCCGGGAAATGTTTTGAAAGCGGTTGATAAGGTTAGATACATGACAGTCTTAAATTTATTCCATTTTCACGAATTCTCCGCTTTAATTCTTCTAAAAACATAAAATGCTTCTTTAGAAATCTCAAGCGATTTCAAACATTCCCCTTGGCTGGAGGTAGACTCAATCGTCGACCTTGGGCATTTTGTGATTCTCATTGTTTTCAACACATGACCGGCGTGACGCACTGAGTCAGTTTTCAGGATATCCAGAAAAATTAAGTCTTGCGTTACTTTATTTAGTTGACTTGTCATAAATAAGCTTAAAACTAAATTTAATAATCGTTTTGACAGAATGAATCACAACTCCTTTTGAAGAAATTTCCCTGCACGAGCTAAACAAATGCCTTCAAAAGTTTTATTTGACGGCAAGAGAAAGAGGGTCGTCTCAATGGGGTGGTGGTTTTTACTGTTATCGGCTAAAATTTTGGCTCTTTTACGGCTATCGGTTAATTTTTTTCAGTTACGGTTAACAAAAAAGTTAAAAATTAATTTCTTTTGTTTCAAATAGTTGAATATTAATTAACCTGTATTTCTTGTATCTTTAAAGCAAAATAAAGGTCTTCAGATCATCTTGGGATGAAATAAGCAATTCTTTCGAAAAACTTTAACATTTGATGGATCATACTTTTTTCAAGTATTTCACTTCTAATATTATTTTACACATAGAAATGTCAATAGTCAATTTAAAAATAATCAAATAATCTTTGTGAAAAAAGCAAATTAAAGAAGACACGCGAACGCCCAACTCAAGGCCGAGGCGCGACATTCATTTAGAACAGAAATGGCCGTTTTCACACTAGAGACGGATTATTCGTGTGAGACGGGTTATCCGTTTGATGATTCGTGTCAGATAGGTAATAAGTCTTAATTTGAAAATGGATAGTTTTAATTTTGAATGAACAATCCGCCTGACTTTATCCATCAATTTTGACGGACAGTTTGAAGATGGATTATCCATTTCAGAGAGCCTGTGTACAGCAGCCCCCTCCCCTCAAAAAAAAAAAAAAAAATCAGAGAAGGGGTGTCTGTTGGGGTGGGGCGACTGTACACAGGCCAGTCTCAGACGGATAATCGATTTCTAGCTCTAGTGTGAAAACGGCCAATAACAAAAATTCCCGTGTCCAGTGTTTTTAATGATAGTGAAGGACTGTACAGAACGACTGTCTGCTGTTGACTTGTCCGTAGGTCTCATTATTCCGCGCGGCTAATGCGTTTCGCGTCACGTTGTCCGAGCGAGTTCGCCACCGAAATGCCTTGACTGAGACTACGCAAGAAGACGTGGTACAGGGACTAGGCATGGCAATGTCAACCGTAGCGTCAGAGAAAAACAGGAAATTGTTGTTTATCAGCAACGTGTTTTACAAACAGTGTCATCTCTGCGTGTCGTTTCACTAGTGTTTCGAGGGCACGATCTCCTGAAAATCGCAGAGAGCGGCGGAAATAGCCTGAGTATCAGGCGTTTCTGGGGAAAAGGGGCTACGGCGGAAATGGAGCCTACAATCAGGGACAAAAGTAGTTGACATTGCCATTGCCATACGGAAGTGTGTCAACACTTTTGTCCCTCATTGTCTGAATGCAAAATCGTGCTACTGCACACAAGTTGAGCCGTGCATGACACTGATTTTAACTGAAATTAAAGGAATCAATGACATAATTATGTTATTGGTGGTGGGGGTGACATTGAGTCATTCACGACCGAATTATAGGGCCAATTCGAATTACGTGATGACGTAATAAAAGGGCTGCGATATCCAGAATTAACGTCGATATGGTTGACAAGCTAAAAACTGACGCTGAAACTCGCGCAAATGTACAACTTTTGATGAATTTCAGGGGTATGCATACTGAAAATATTTTTAATAAAGTGAATATTTCTCGTTCTTCACTTTATCCGATTATTAAGGCGCAAACAATCACGAGTAGGGTAAGGATTGACACGTAGTGGGGATAGTCACTGGCCGGCCACGGAAATATGGAGCGTTAGTGAGGAGCGACCGTCACTGCGTTCAATATCGAAACTACGGAAAAGTGAAGGTAAATTCACGGCCAATTCAATAAAAGACTAAGGACAGCGTAGCAAACATTGCAAGTGTACACGAAAACAATTGCTTTCAATCCCACCTCGTGACACCCCCTGTGACATGATAACGTAACGCAAATAGCGTGACATGAGCGCATATGTCTGTGTATTTGGACTGCATTTTTCAAGCGAAACCCTGTGTTTTTGTCTACTGTCGGCAGAGAAAATGAAAAGAGAGCTTTGAAACGTGAACTGGTATTTGACTCTCAAAGAAAACGACAGCTCAAACTGAGCAAAACACTGCTTCCTTCGTGTTACAACGGTTAACCACGTTTCGGCAAACGGAAAGTAACATTAGTCTGTTATGACCTCTTAATGTCGATGTGTATTCTCGTGGGTAACCGTTGAAACTCCTTATTTGCATCACATCGCTGGAATTTTTCTCGTCAAGAATACGTATTGCGAAGCACTTTCTACATAGCGGAATCTTCTTTTGCCTTTTGTGAGGAATTAGCGCATAAAAAAGGAAAATTTTTTAGCGCACTGCCGTCATCGATGACGTGTCATCCCGCTTTCCTTGTCATCAAGTGAACTTCTGGGCCAAAGTATTTGCTGTTTTGGCGATGATACAAACTGGTGTGTCTATCTTGAAAACGATTTCTTTGGCATTCTGTGATTTACGAGCTGGGAGATGAAATAGTTGTCCATCCAACATCAAGAAAAAATCATGCCACTGAATAAACGGAAGGCGGTCATCTAAAATCATTACGAAAGTACATTCCCGACCTTGTCTAACCTGTTCGACGCCTACCTACGCTAAAGGTTTGGATCAGTTAGGTTTGAA